GTTTTGTTTGGGCCTTACACTCCTGATTGTCCCTGAATTGTCCCTGGTTTTGTTTGGGTCCTACACTCCTGGTTGCCCCTGAGTTGTTCCTGGTTTTGTTTGGGTCCTACACTCCTGATTGTCCCTGGTTTTGTTTGGGTCTTACATTCCTGATTATCTCTGAGTTGTCCCTGGTTTTGTTTGGGTCCTACACTCCTGATTGTCCCTGGTTTTGTTTGGGTCTTACATTCCTGATTATACCTGAGTTGTTCCTGGTTTTGTTTGGGCCTTACACTCCTGATTATCTCTGGGTTGTCCCTAGTTTTGTTTGGGTCCTACACTCCTGATTGTCCATGAGTTCCTGGTTTTGTTTGGGTCCTACACTCCTAATTATCTCTGGGTTGTTCCTGGTTTTGTTTGGGTCCTACATTCCTGATTGTCCCTAGTTTTGTTTGGGTCCTACACTCCATATTGTCCCTGAGTTGTTCCTGGTTTTGTTTGGGTTCTACACTCCTAATTGTCCCTGGGTTGTTCCTGGTTTTGTTTGGGTCCTAAACTCCTGATTGTCCCTGGGTGGCTCCTACACAATCCTGTTGTCCCTAGGCTGTTATATAGATATAGTTACATGTAAGTTGCTAAAAACTTTTCCATGTATAAAGGTAAATATAAGGAATAATATTCACAGCAATGCTATCAACACTAACAGATAGCTGCCGTAATACCAACAAAAATGTGCGTTGCACGTTGTCTACGAATTCGTAAAAAGTAAACATTTTTTTCTCCTAGCAGGCAATTACAACTAAATACTGTCTTGTGGATGTATATGTACATGAACTAAACATGGAAATCTGGTTTTTATATATACAACCATGCATTTTACTATATACAATATAATTATATAAACACCGGTTCACATAAACGGACCGCCCAATTATCAATAACAGATGGTACATGCACATAAACTAGCTTATTGCGGTCATTCACCAGGAGGTTTTGCTACAATGTAACGTTTATAATTACAAGCCAAATAAGTACAACTTACCAAATCTCAGATATATATACACTTGTTTCAAAGTAGAATTTAATTGTGAGGTGAGCCAATAGACATACACAGCCATCTTCAATTTAGTTGTTCTTGTGTAGTCCTGTTTCCTTTCTTGCATGCTCTCGCATTCCCATACTTACATTTGATATGGGAATATTCAATAATTGATATGTGCACATGTAAATGGTGAAACCAGATATAGCATATACATAATCACTAAAACATATCAAATATGTATATTACAATACTCTTTCAATATGTGATCATAACAATCAGTTTATTATTTAGGACTAGGACTACCTGTACTATTTGGATCATCAGATCTAGTATTTAGGACTAGGACTACCTGTACTATTTGGATCATCAGTTCTAGTATTTAGGACTAGGACTACCTGTACTATTCGGAACATCAGTTCTAGTATTCAAGACTGGAACTACTTGTAGTGTTTGGATCATCAGTTCTAGTATTTAGGACTGGGACTACCTGTACTATTTTATGACATCAGTTCTAGTATTTAGGACTGGGACTACCTGTACTATTTTATAACATCAGTTCTAGTATTTAGGACTGGGACTACCTTGTTTGGAACATCAGTTCTAGTATTTAGGACTAGGACTACCTGTACTATTTTATAACATCAGTTCTAGTATTTAGGACTGGGACTACCTGTACTGTTTGGACTCAGTTCTAGTATTTAGGACCTCAGTTCTAGTATTTAGTGCCTGTACTGTTTGGAACATCAGTTCTAGTATTTAGGACTAGGACTGCCTGTACTGTTTGGAACATTAGTTGTAGTATTGTAACTACTTGTACTATTTGGATAATCAGTTCTAGTATTTAAGACTATGACTATCTGTCCTGTTTGGATCATCAGATCTAGTATTTAGGACTAGGACTGCCTGTGCTGTTTGGATCATTAGATTAGTATTTAAGATTAGGACTACCTGTACTGTTTGGAACATCAGTTCTAGTATTTAGGACTAGGACTGCCTGTACTGTTTGGATCATCAGATCTAGTATTTAGGACTAGGACTGCCTGTACTGTTTGGATCATTAGATCTAGTATTTAAGATTAGGACTACCTGTACTGTTTGGAACATCAGTTCTAGTATTAAAGATTGGGACTACCTGTACTATTTGGATCATCATTTTTAGTATTTAAGACTGGAACTACTTGTACTGTTTGGATAATCAGTTCTAGTATTTAGGACTAGGACTATCTGTACTGTTTGGATAATCAGTTCTAGTATTTAAGATTAGGACTACCTGTACTGTTTGGAACATCAGTTCTAGTATTTAGGACTGGGACTACCTGTACTATTTTATGACATCAGTTCTAGTATTTAGGACTGGGACTACCTGTACTATTTTATAACATCAGTTCTAGTATTTAGGACTGGGACTACCTGTACTGTTTGGAACATCAGTTCTAGTATTTAGGACTAGGACTACCTGTACTATTTTATAACATCAGTTCTAGTATTTAGGACTGGGACTACCTGTACTGTTTGGAACATCAGTTCTAGTATTTAGGACTAGGACTACCTGTACTGTTTGGAACATCAGTTCTAGTATTTAGGACTAGGACTGCCTGTACTGTTTGGAACATCAGTTCTAGTATTTAGGACTAGGACTGCCTGTACTGTTTGGAACATTAGTTGTAGTATTTAAGACTGGAACTACTTGTACTATTTGGATAATCAGTTCTAGTATTTAAGACTATGACTATCTGTCCTGTTTGGATCATCAAATCTAGTATTTAGGACTAGGACTGCCTGTGCTGTTTGGATCATTAGATCTAGTATTTAAGATTAGGACTACCTGTACTGTTTGGAACATCAGTTCTAGTATTTAGGACTAGGACTGCCTGTACTGTTTGGATCATCAGATCTAGTATTTAGGACTAGGACTGCCTGTACTGTTTGGATCATTAGATCTAGTATTTAAGATTAGGACTACCTGTACTGTTTGGAACATCAGTTCTAGTATTTAAGATTAGGACTACCTGTACTGTTTGGAACATCAGTTCTAGTATTAAAGATTGGGACTACCTGTACTATTTGGATCATCATTTTTAGTATTTAAGACTGGAACTACTTGTACTGTTTGGATAATCAGTTCTAGTATTTAGGACTAGGACTATCTGTACTGTTTGGATAATCAGTTCTAGTATTTAAGATTAGGACTACCTGTACTGTTTGGAACATCAGTTCTAGTATTAAAGATTGGGACTACCTGTACTATTTGGATCATCATTTTTAGTATTTAAGACTGGAACTACTTGTACTGTTTGGATAATCAGTTCTAGTATTTAAGACTATGACTATCTGTCCTGTTTGGATCATCAGTTCTAGTATTTAAGACTAGGACTATCTGTACTGTTTGAACTAATGTTGAGTACACGATCACCTGGCTATATATCATCGTCAGTCAAATGTGGTTAGAATCCAGTAGGCAGGTCTACTCAAGGTGTTCTTAGTTTCCTGTGAACTGATTGAAAAACCATACAGTTGACTGAATTCACTTTTTATTTTAAGTATGTATATAAAATTCATCAAGCGATCTGAACATCAGTTAGTTATTTTTATCTTATATGTTTTCTTGTGGCTTCGTAGACATGTCTGGTAACTAAACCAATGTGTGATATTGGGACTAGAATCCACTCTCTAGTCAGCTGTATTACACTTAGTTATACTGGTAGGTATGATTCTCTCATGTTACCACAAATTTCTCTGGTTTACTGAACAATTTTGATATTCTAGTGCCCTCATAATAGATAATCACACTTTGATGGAAGCCGAAAACTCTCTTTATTGTAAAGATGGTTGATGATTCAATGAGATAAGGATATGTCGCCTTAGAAATCATTGTGGGTAATTATAGATGTTGTGAAGTAATTTTATTTGTCTGGTAGAAAGAAGAAATATTTGTGAAGTGTAACTGAATGCTACATGACATGGTGTGATGTTTAAGCATAAGTAACATGATTTACAGACTTGTGTAAAGGCTACGACCATTGTGAAAATTGTAGATGTAATGTGAGAGAGTATGGTATTTAAAAGTGTTGTGTTTCTTGAGAAATGCTGGATAAATTATTCTCAATGTCTAATTTAGGTCTCTTTTGGACTTCTTATACTTTGGACTGATTGGAAATGCAAATGGCTGACAAACAGCCATCTTGGATTTTGATTATTAAAGATTGTTATTACTGCTTCTTAAGAGGTATTGGATGGATTTTTCCCAATTTTCATCTTTAAGGTTGCCTTAGCCTGTAGTTTGTGCAATATCATTTTTAGGACTAATTGGCAAAAAGGTGGACAAGAGGGCAAAAACGAGGAAAGAACAGAAAAGATAAAATGTTTATTCATGTAGAATTTATAAAAATCACATAATGGTGGGCACCATGATCCCTGTAAAATCTTTTGTGACAGTTATAGTTTGTTATCTTGAGAAGTACTGAATAGATAATTCCTAAATTTCGATTGCATGTTCCGTTTGGTCCCTAATAGTGCATTCTCCATTTTTGGACTACCAGGTTATCACTTATCAGAAAATCAAAATGACTGACATGGATTTTGACATATAAAGTTTGTTATTGCAGCATTTTGAAAAGCACCAGATGGATTTTTCTCAATTTTGATACTGAGGTTCCCTGGAGTCTTTAGTTGCGAATGATCAATTTTAGGACTATTTAGATAAACATTGTGGCCATGAGATGAAAGAAGTGAAAAGAGGGGTAAGAAATCCCTCTCATAGGGAATCAATGAAGGTTGTATGATGATTGACATCATGATATCTCAGGGATCCCTTATGACAGTTATAGTTTACTTTCTTGAGAAATACTTTTCTCTTGTTTTCCTCTTAGTCCATAATTGTGCATGTCACATTTGGAGACTGATAGAAATAACAAATTGATAGATGGGAGCAGACAGGTGTAGTTTGTCAGTGTACTAAGCTTCCTTGTCTGTAATACAGGAGATGCGTCGGGAGCTAGACGACTATGAAGAACTATTTAACCGCTATCTTCAGGAGACTGGACCCTCCTTCATGTGGGATAGGATTAAATTGTTACCTGATGATGCTGTAAGTATGGTATATCATACTTCTCACTGAAAATGATGGTATGTCACTTTCTTAACTGGAAATATTTACATTTGCATTGCATAGTCTCTAAATCAAGCTTACGAAACTCAATGTAAGTATTTATCAAAATTACACATGGCATGTAAACTTGTATATAGTATCAACACTACTGCATGGTGTTTTTTTTCATGTTCCTAAATGTTATACAATAATGTTTATAAAAGGTTTGTAATTTCAAGAGACATCTTGTAATGCTAGACAATAAATAAATATTAAACACAAACATGGATTTGATAATTTGCTCTTGAAACTATTTTGTTGTTGTGGCCATTGTCAATGACCCAAGTTGTGGCGCCACCAACCACTTTTGGAAGAACATGGCTGCTCAATTGTACTTGCAGTAGTTCAAAAGATATGTGAAATGTTTTAGGAAAATTTGTGGGAATTAAATGAAATTTAATATTTTCTGTACCTGTGTCAAATTGTATGACACTCAATGCATCAAGAAAAATATGTAATTCCTTTTATGTGTTTTACACTTTGATGCAGGAACAGTAGAAACCCCAAAAAAAGAAAGAGAAGGAAGTTCACTGTTAAATGTGATGTCCTTTGTTGTAGGTGAAGACGTATGGTGAGCTACAGATACCAGATCCAGACAAGATAAAGGAACTACTTAATAAATTAGTGGTAGTAAAACTTAATGGAGGCCTTGGGACCAGCATGGGTTGTACTGGCCCTAAGAGTGCCATCAGTGTCCGAAACGAACTTACCTTCTTGGACTTGACTGTCCAGCAGATTGAGGTAGGGTAAAATAGGTGATTGATCCATTCACCACTGTATGGTATGTGTATACATGTAATTTATTATTTTCTTCACAACATGTTCATGCATGATGAAAGGCAAGTACTTTTACAAAATAAAAACAGCGACATTATCAATCACCATTTTTAGAATGCAATTCACCTTTAAAATATGATTTAAATAAATTTAGTGAGAGTTCCGAGTAAAATATATATGAAAAAATATATTGAAATGTTAAGTGTATTTTGTTTTGTTCAAAAAGCCAACAGATCATTAGCAAACTTGTCAAATACTGTATGGAAGTTTACGTCATCAGGCCTCAGAGACAAATTAGTAAAAGGTGTTACTCAATTAGTCCATACTGAGGATATTGTGTATGAAATTGTGTGAATATTGATTGATGTTCTACTGGTGTTACCTGGCCATGCAAGAAAGATTTGTATGTCTGAAGTGTATTGATGTTCAATTATTTTTCTGCAGTATTTGAACAAGACGTATGGCACAGATGTTCCTTTGGTACTTATGAACTCATTCAACACTGATGAAGACACTCAAAAAATCCTCAAGAAGTATGGCCAAGTCCGAGTCAACATATACACATTCCACCAAAGCAGGTATAACAATAGAGGGAAGCATATGGGGGATATGAGGGGGTTGTGATTATGGGGATATTGATGGTTAGGATTATGGGAACATTTGTCAAATTTTAGATGGGCCATTTTGAGGAAATTTGTCGGGAATTTGGCAAAGATTGTTAAACATCAGAGGGGGAAGATTATCAGGATATTTGTGTAACATCAGAGGGGGAAGATTATCAGGATATGTGTGTAACATCAGAGGGGGAGGATTATTAGGATATTTGTGTAACATCAGAGGGGGAAGATTATCAGGATGTGTGTGTAACATCAGAGGGGGAAGATTATCAGGATATGTGTGTAACATCAGAGGGGGAAGATTATCAGGATGTGTGTGTAACATCAGAGGGGGAAGATTACTGGGATATTTGTGTAACATCAGAGGGGGAAGATTATCAGGATATTTGTGTAACATCAGCGGGGGAAGATTATCAGGATATGTGTGTAACAACAGAGGGGGAAGATTATCAGGATATTTGTGTAACATCAGAGGGGGAAGATTATCAGGATATGTGTGTAACATCAGAGGGGGAGGATTATCAGGATATTTGTGTAACATCAGAGGGGGAAGATTATCAGGATATGTGTGTAACATCAGAGGGGGAGGATTATCAGGATATTTGTGTAACATCAGAGGGGGAAGATTATCAGGATATGTGTGTAACATCAGAGGGGGAGGATTATCAGGATATTTGTGTAACATCAGAGGGGGAAGATTACTGGGATATTTGTGTAACATCAGAGGGGGAGGATTACTGGGATATTTGTGTAACATCAGAGGGGGAAGATTATCGGGATATTTGTGTAACATCAGAGGGGGAAGATTATCAGGATATTTGTGTAACATCAGAGGGGGAGGATTACTGGGATATTTGTGTAACATCAGAGGGGGAGGATTACTGGGATATTTGTGTAACATCAGAGGGGGAAGATTACTGGGATATTTGTGTAACATCAGAGGGGGAGGATTACTGGGATATTTGTGTAACATCAGAGGGGGAGGATTACTGGGATATTTGTGTAACATCAGAGGGGGAAGATTATCAGGATATTTGTGTAACATCAGAGGGGGAAGATTACTGGGATATTTGTGTAACATCAGAGGGGGATGATTACTTGGATATTTGTGTAACATCAGAGGGGGAGGATTACTGGGATATTTGTGTAACATCAGAGGGGGAAGATTATCAGGATATTTGTGTAACATCAGAGGGGGAAGATTATCAGGATATTTGTGTAACATCAGAGGGGGAAGATTATCAGGATATTTGTGTAACATCAGAGGGGGAAGATTATCAGGATATTTGTGTAACATCAGAGGGGGAAGATTATCAGGATATTTGTGTAACATCAGAGGGGGAAGATTATCAGGATATTTGTGTAACATCAGAGGGGGAAGATTATCAGGATATTTGTGTAACATCAGAGGGGGAAGATTATCAGGATATGTGTGTAACATCAGAGGGGGAAGATTATCAGGATATTTGTGTAACATCAGAGGGGGAAGATTATCAGGATATTTGTGTAACATCAGAGGGGGAAGATTATCAGGATATTTGTGTAACATCAGAGGGGGAAGATTACTGGGATATTTGTGTAACATCAGAGGGGGAAGATTATCAGGATATGTGTGTAACATCAGAGGGGGAAGATTATCAGGATATGTGTGTAACATCAGAGGGGGAAGATTACTGGGATATTTGTGTAACATCAGAGGGGGAGGATTACTGGGATATTTGTGTAACATCAGAGGGGGAAGATTACTGGGATATTTGAGTAATGCCAGAGGATGGAGGTTATTCAGACATTTTAGTGAGATAAGGTGAACAAATGAATAAATAGTCTTATTGAAGGTTTAACGTGAGGACGGGGATGTTATGTGTATGGTATATGTATGGTAGGGAGATCCTTCAGATCCTTGTTTCAGCTATGTCTTGCTAATAGATAATTCACATTTACAGTGATAGATTCTTTAAACAAAAAACAAAACAAACAAAGAAAGAACACAGTCCTAATAGTGGTTTATTGTGGAGATATTTTCAGTATGAATTTTATTTCTCCCCAGATATCCAAGAATAATTTCTTTATCCTAATAGTGGTTTATTGTGGAGATATTTTCAGTATGAATTTTATTTCTCCCCAGATATCCAAGAATAAATCGCGAGTCTTTGTCACCAATACCCACAAACTGCAGCTACGACAATGTTGAAGGGTAAGTGTCATACTCTGTACCAATGGCTTGTTACTATGGCAATGATGATGAATATCATACTCTGTACCAATGGTTTGTTACTATGGCAATGATGATGAATATCATACTCTGTACCAATGGTTTGTTACTATGGCAATGATGATGAATATCATACTCTGTACCAATGGTTTGTTACTATGGCAATGATGATGAATATCATACTCTGTACCAATGGTTTGTTACTATGGCAATGATGATGAATATCATACTCTGTACCAATGGTTTGTTACTATGGCAATGATGATGAATATCATACTCTGTACCAATGGTTTGTTACTATGGCAATGATGATGAATATCATACTCTGTACCAATGGTTTGTTACTATGGCAATGATGATGAATATCATACTCTGTACCAATGGTTTGTTACTATGGCAATGATGATGAATATCATACTCTGTACCAATGGTTTGTTACTATGGCAATGATGATGAATATCATACTCTGTACCAATGGTTTGTTACTATGGCAATGATGATGAATATCATACTCTGTACCAATGGTTTGTTACTATGGCAATGATGATGAATATCATACTCTGTACCAATGGTTTGTTACTATGGCAATGATGATGAATATCATACTCTGTACCAATGGTTTGTTACTATGGCAATGATGATGAATATCATACTCTGTACCAATGGTTTGTTACTATGGCAATGATGATGAATATCATACTCTGTACCAATGGTTTGTTACTATGGCAATGATGATGAATATCATACTCTGTACCAATGGTTTGTTACTATGGCAATGATGATGAATATCATACTCTGTACCAATGGTTTGTTACTATGGCAATGATGATGAATATCATACTCTGTACCAATGGTTTGTTACTATGGCAATGATGATGAATATCATACTCTGTTGGTTTGTTACTATGGCAATGATGATGAATATCATACTCTGTACCAATGGTTTGTTACTATGGCAATGATGATGAATATCATACTCTGTACCAATGGTTTGTTACTATGGCAATGATGATGAATATCATACTCTGTACCAATGGTTTGTTACTATGGCAATGATGATGAATATCATACTCTGTACCAATGGTTTGTTACTATGGCAATGATGATGAATATCATACTCTGTACCAATGGTTTGTTACTATGGCAATGATGATGAATATCATACTCTGTACCAATGGTTTGTTACTATGGCAATGATGATGAATATCATACTCTGTACCAATGGTTTGTTACTATGGCAATGATGATGAATATCATACTCTGTACCAATGGTTTGTTACTATGGCAATGATGATGAATATCATACTCTGTACCAATGGTTTGTTACTATGGCAATGATGATGAATATCATACTCTGTACCAATGGTTTGTTACTATGGCAATGATGATGAATATCATACTCTGTACCAATGGTTTGTTACTATGGCAATGATGATGAATATCATACTCTGTACCAATGGTTTGTTACTATGGCAATGATGATGAATATCATACTCTGTACCAATGGTTTGTTACTATGGCAATGATGATGAATATCATACTCTGTACCAATGGTTTGTTACTATGGCAATGATGATGAATATCATACTCTGTACCAATGGTTTGTTACTATGGCAATGATGATGAATATCATACTCTGTACCAATGGTTTGTTACTATGGCAATGATGATGAATATCATACTCTGTACCAATGGTTTGTTACTATGGCAATGATGATGAATATCATACTCTGTACCAATGGTTTGTTACTATGGCAATGATGATGAATATCATACTCTGTACCAATGGTTTGTTACTATGGCAATGATGATGAATATCATACTCTGTACCAATGGTTTGTTACTATGGCAATGATGATGAATATCATACTCTGTACCAATGGTTTGTTACTATGGCAATGATGATGAATATCATACTCTGTACCAATGGTTTGTTACTATGGCAATGATGATGAATATCATACTCTGTACCAATGTTGTGTTACTATGGCAATGATGATGAATATCATACTCTGTACCAATGGTTTGTTACTATGGCAATGATGATGAATATCATACTCTGTACCAATGGTTTGTTACTATGGCAATGATGATGAATATCATACTCTGTACCAATGGTTTGTTACTATGGCAATGATGATGAATATCATACTCTGTACCAATGGTTTGTTACTATGGCAATGATGATGAATATCATACTCTGTACCAATGGTTTGTTACTATGGCAATGATGAAGGGTATCATCCTCTGTATCAATGGTTTGTTACTATGGCAATGACAATGAATATCATCCTCTGTATCAATGGTTTGTTACTATGGCAATGACAATGAATATCATCCTCTGTATCAATGGTTTGTTACTATGGCAATGACAATGAATATCATACTCTGTATCAATGGTTTGTTACTATGACAATGATGAAGGGTATCATCCTCTGTACCAATATCATATTTCAATATGGAACTTTAGGATAAAGCATTCAAATTCACAGTGTTATCCTAAGGATAATAGATTGATATGGTAAAAGGGACATAACTCTATTTGTTCTTTACAGATGGTATCCTCCTGGTCACGGAGATGTATACAAAAGTTTCTACAATTCGGGGATCTTGGAGGAATTCATTAAAGATGGAAAAAAATATGTGTTTATTTCTAACATAGATAATTTGGGTGCTACAGTGGACCTAAGTATCCTAAACTTCCTGTTGAATCCCGTAAATGGTCCCGCCCCAGAGTTTGTGATGGAAGTCACTGATAAAACTCGGGCTGATGTTAAGGTTAGTACATAACAGCTCAAGTTTATTCTGAACACATCATAGTTGAAGACATATATTAATATAACTGCAAAAACTATTCATTTCTTCAAATGTTTAAGTTTCATTTAATTCAATACTTCAATTTTCCTAAATTGTTGATTAAAAAGTTCTTAGACATGAGAAGAACACATCCATTAATCAAAATAATCATTGATTCAGCTGGAATATACAGTGTTTCTTTATACCTGATAACTGGTGATTTCAGAACACTTGGTAATTTCTCTTTCTACTTTTTTAGGAGTCTCTGTGTAAATCTTTCTTATCTTCATGTTTTGCCCTAGTTTTAATGAATTCAAGGAGGGATTATGATTGTGTTGACATGTTGGTATTTTCTTGTCATTGGTTTGTACCAGCTGACTGAATGATGGTTCATATTTAACTAATTGTTATGTGTTAATTAGTGATTTTAACCTTTTAACCAATGGCTCTTACTTTGACAGGGTGGTACACTTGTGGAATATGAAGGAAAACTGCGACTTTTAGAAATTGCACAAGTACCGAAAGAACATGTAAGTTTAGTGAAATCTCATTTCATTATGTGAAAAATTGTTGAATTTGCTTCATTCTGACAAAGGATTGGAAGTGGGTTTCTTTTCCATTAGTGTTTACATTGACCACACCCAATGATAAGAGGTTGGGGTTTAGATCACTTTCTCTGAAAATAAATGTTGTAGCACCCAACTTTACATACATGTATATAGGGATTTTTTCAGCAGTTCAACCCCAACCAGGACAAAACTAGAGACTTTATTAGATGCTTGGAACCAATATCCATAGGGAAGACTCTGACAAGTCAACCTGACTTTTCCCTACCAAAAAAAAACCAACAACACACATCTTCTTCCACCTTTGTAAATAAGTGTGTTTTAACAATCTACCATGATATGTTTCATGCTGTCATATGGTTGATAACATTATAACTGGTGGCATTTAACCAACTACAGAAAACATAGCCCTGGTTGTGCCTTTGATGGTTGTAATTTGTTTCATTTCTTTAAATATCTTGCTATGAGAATTATGGGATATATAATTGAATAAAATATATAGTTTCTATGCATAAGTATGTTTTCGGTTGTCCCTAGATGTGAGCACTTTGATCCCAAGATTTGTGTATTTGATTTTGGAACCAATTTCAAAGAAAACAAAAAAAATTTGCACAAATTTGTTGCAAATATCTCTCTAGGATCTTTTGTTTAGCCCACCTGGCATTGGCATAACACATCATCTGTCTCTGAACTTGTTCAACATGAACATACCCTAATCACTGTTCATTTTTGTGATAGCTTAAATCAACTAATGTTTCAACACTTTAATTCCATATGTATGTTCATTTAGACCTTCCTACCTTAAACAAGTAAATGCATCATAGGTTAAAGTTCAAGGTCACTTTTTTGAAATTTAAGTCTCGCCCAAATTTTGTTTACAGTGTCATTGGTCATAATGCTACTTGTCATATATAGAAAATACCTTTCTATTTCTATTTTACTACCTAGTAATTTCCAATTGGAAAATATATTATTTTTAAGCTTCATTAAGTTATGTTCTATAACCACTTGCTTTATTTCTTTATTTCGATACATCATGTGCAGCATCTAAAAGTGCCCACAGCTAGTTGATTGGCCTATTTTTGGTTGAAGAACTTCCTGCAGATTTTGAAAGTGAGCAAAAACACTTTGAAAATTATATTGCTTTGAAAAATGTATATGTAACTTCCAGAAACAATAACATATAAAAGAAATTTGGGGCTGATTTAGGATTTTGTTTGTGGAGGTGTGGTGTGATGGTGTGGGATTAGCACTCATTAGTTTTCAATAATGTTTTTTTTCAAAATCGTGTTTTTTTTTTGTTTTTTTTTTATAAATAACACAAAATTTTGATAAAGAAGCAAAAATCTGAGGTTGATTTCCCACTTTGTATGTTGTTTGTAGGGTTGTAGGCATGTGTAGTATTATTTGTAGACATACCAAGAGTGTTATTTGTAGACTGCTAGATATTTAAGTGGCAGTCATCAGCTGATGGATTGGGCCAAAAGGGGTCAAAAATGTTCTCGACCTCAGGGTCTACAGTTCCACCTGAGGCAGAGGTAAATTTACTGGTTGACTGTATGCTGTACAGGAAAACTACATTGTTTGAGTGTTTCTTTGAATCAAGACAAATGGTACATGTGTTGTTTATAGACCTGTGTATTTACAGGTAGATATAGTGTCATGGCTGACAGTCTTGGAATATATACTGATCTTTATTGTTCCTTGTGTATTTACAGGTAGATGAATTCAAGAGTGTCAGTAAATTTAAGTAAGTACATTATCTACCTGTGTAATGGAGAGTAAGTGTTTTATTAATATATGTATTCAGGTACAGCTTCCTTTGACCAGGTACATGATTAAACTATTACATTGATGTGGTACAGGGTGTGGTTACTTTATACATGTACTGTAGCTCAGACAGAGGTATATATGAAATACTCATTACTTACCATTCAACACTTTAATTCTAGTTTATTGTTACTGTGAAAGTTTGTCTATAATAATTTATCTATGACAGAGTTATCCTTAATGATAAACAAAACTATTTCACTGTTATACTTAATAATAAAGAAACCTATTTAAATTATGAATTTCAGAATTTTTAATACAAACAACCTTTGGATAAGCCTAGAAGCTATGAAGAGAGTAGTTGATGAGAAAACACTACATATGGAAATCATTGTCAACCCTAAGGTGAGTTATAAAATGATGCAAAATGAGAGGTCAGTCATCAGATGTAATGTGAGAGGTCAGTCATCAGATGTAATGTAAGAGGTTAGTCATCAGATGTAATGTGAGAGGTCAGTCATCAGATGTAATGTGAGAGGTCAGTCATCAGATGTAATGTGAGAGGTCAGTCATCAGATGTAATGTGAGAGGTCAGTCACCAGATGTGATGTGAGAGGTCAGTCATCAGATGGTGTAATGTGAAAGATCAGTCATCAGATGCAACATGAGATGTCAGTCATCAGATGTAATGTGAGAGAGGTCAGTCCAGATGTAATGTGAGAGGTAAGTCATCAGATGTAATGTGAGAGGTCAGTCATCAGATGTAATGTGAGAGGTCAGTCATCAGATGTAATGTGAGAGGTCAGTCATCAGATGGTGTAATGTGAAAGATCAGTCATCAGATGCAACATGAGATGTCAGTCATCAGATGTAATGTTAGAGAGGTCAGTCCAGATGTAATGTGAGAGGTCAGTCATCAGATGTAATGTGAGAGGTCAGTCATCAGATGTAATGTGAGAGGTCAGTCATCAGATGTAATGTGATAGGTCAGTCATCAGATGTAATGTGAGAGGTGTGTTTTTTAGAAATATTACAAATACTGCTGTGTTAATCCACTGAGACTTTGGTTTGTTTCTGAATAAAATTAAATGAGACTACATATGAACTGAAATTCTTACATATGTTTCAGACACTTGATAATGGCCTCAATGTGATACAGCTGGAGACGGCTGTAGGGGCAGCCATTAAAAGTTTTGATGGAGCTTTAGGTCAGTACTTTACAGTATTTAAACATAGTCAATTTAAGTGTCGGTGATCCACTAGCAAATCTTATGAAACATGTTTCATGAAAGATTTGCCAGAAGGTCATCTTGTTTATTCTAATTCACATTTTCAACCATATCCGTTCATCAGTCTGTAAACAATTTGTTATATTCACTATTTCTTGAGAATTACGGGATGGATCTTTCTCAAATTGCATATGTAGATTCCCCTTGGTCCCTAGTTGTGCCAGTTTGTTTTGGGACTGATAAAAAAACAAAATGGCCAACTGGCAGCCATCTTGGATTTTTTCAGTGAAGTTTGCCATCGCTGTTTTTTGAAAAGTGAGGGATGGATCTCTCTCAAATTTCATATGTAGGTTTCCTCTGGAATCTAGTTGTGCCCATTTGATTTTAGGTTTGATCAAAAGAACAAAATGACTGAAAGGTGGCCATCTTGGATTTTAACTTTAAAAGTTTGTTAACCCTATTTCTTGGGAAGTACTTAATGGATATCTCTCAAGTTTCAATCGTATGTTCCCTTTGGTCTCTCCTTGTGCTTATATGGTTTTAGAACTGATTGGAAGAAACAAAATGGCTTCCAGGTGGCAATTTTGGATTTGGCAGGTAAAAATAATGGCTATTTCTGTCAAGGAATGTTCAAATGTCTTATCATTAAGAGCAAAAATAGAGAAGAGAAAAGAAGGGAAAAGATCCAACTTTGAAAGAGCATAGAATGATTAAACATTGGTAGGCGCCAAGATCCCTCTGAGATCTCTTGTTTTTCTTACACAATGCAATAAACCCAGTAATGAGAACAGATGAATTATGGAATAGCTTACAACAGCAATGGGACAAGTTACAATTACATTCTCATAACTACATTAGCTGTGTATTGTGGTGGGCAAATGTAAATATATGTCTATGTTTACAAGGTGTTCCATCTCAGTTTTATTTATCTGTATGTAATATGGTGTAATTAGTGATATAGTATATGTATTATATATATATACAGTGTTTGTATGTGTAGTTAAGCGACCTTCATACTCATAGTGATGTTCTGTGTTGACAATAACCTGAACTGGGGATATCTGCAATACAACAGGTACAATTTACCAGCACTCGCACTGCATGCTTCAATTTCCTGCCTTATAAACCATATCACCGTATCATTATCACTTTGTGTCAGTCTCGCAAGAGCAACACAACAAGCATATGGTTCATCCTTAGTACATCTAGATACTGCTATGAAACAAGTTGCCAGATAGTCTGGTAAGCACAGTATATATATGTGTGTAATACTTTAACTTACTTTTTAAGTATATTTTGCGTTATTGTTATAATTTGTTTCTTTGGTTAGTGTGTTAGAGTACATTTGGTTTTATTTGTAGGTTTTTGTTTTCCCAGAACCCATTAAAACAAACAACCACCTTGGGAGTAGTTTGTTTCAAAGAGTCTGTGTGATATGTATTTTATGATGAGGAATCACATTTTACTATTGATGTTACTAGTAATTATCAAGGGCTTTACCTTCACAGGTATTAATGTACCTAGGCGACGATTCTTGCCAGTCAAGACGACCTCTGACCTCCTGTTGGTAATGAGTAACTTATACAACATGAGGACAGGTTCTTTGGAGATGAATCCTAAACGGAGCTTCCCTTCAGTCCCACTTGTCAAACTAGGATCTCACTTCAGTAAGGTAGGTTATATCTGTACATCTCTAGGATCACATACTGTTTTCATCACTGAAATTACGAGGATTTTGTCATCAGCTCAATTATGATTAATATACATATAAATTAAAATGGCGATTACAAAAAACTTTTGTCCTTTAGGTGAAAGATTTCCTCTCAAGATTCTCCAGCATTCCAGACATGTTAGAACTGGATCATCTCACGGTGTCTGGTGATGTTACTTTTGGTAAAAATGTCACTCTCAAGGTCAGTGATACAGGTGGTCATTGGAAAAGTGATACATGTTTTGAATCATTGATAATAGGTGAATAGAAATATTAGATACATGTTATTTTGGTATTTTTCAAACCAAGTTACTCATTTATTTATGTTTCTACATTTTTGTCATGAAATGACAGAATTCTTTTAATCATATGAGATCTGATTTAGTAAAAGAAATGCAGCTAGTTCTATGGTCAGTCAATTCTGTTATAAATCTTCATCATTAAACCTATTATCTTATTACTTAACATTTAATCATTGTTTGTTACAGGGAACAGTGATCATCATAGCCAATCATGGTGAGAGAATCGACATTCCCTCAGGATCTGTGTTAGAAAACAAAATTGTGTCAGGAAATCTCCGAATCCTGGATCACTAGTCATGTTGATGCTGCTCTCTTAAGTTTTTATCACAGCTAAGGATTTCAGTTACTGCTTCCTAAACAGTTTATCACAGCCAGGAGTTACAACACAATGCCTGGATGTCAAAATACAACCACAGATTTCAACAGTACATAGGATCCTGTAATACCAACAGGGATCCAAAATATGGATTTTCTTGACCCTGGCAATAGTTTAACACTGAAATACGTATACATATTAACCATACATAATAAACAAAATTTTTTGTTTTTTTTTTATATCAAAAATCATATGTGGTTACTGATTCTTTTGAGAACTATGAATTTACAAAACGGTAAAAAGTAAAACAATTGATGATTCCAGTAGACAATGGTGATAGTAGTAGTCATTGGATGTAAATCTATTATTTGATTTTATGTTCACAAAGCTAGTCTGCTAGTTATAGTGAGGATCTTCCTCATGCAATAGACACCCAAGAAATACCAATTTGTTGTGATTTCAGTCCAAATTTCCCTATTGGGATACAGCATTTCCACATATTATTAGTTCCGTTTATTGGACTCGTGACTGATTTTGTATATGTATATATCTAACTGTTGTGTGTGATTTGGCATGCCATATTCTCTAGTACCTAATGTAAAGTGCAGATAGACTTAAACAGATGAAAGATTGGCTGAGTGCTAATAGAGCATGGAGAGTCTTGAGAATATGTAAGCATAATAAGGAGTGTTTTATTGAAAGTCCCATACGTGTCAAAACACTGTTGTTTAACTATGCAGAGAAGGAATGTTATAGACTGACAATGTAGCACTGGGATGGGAGTGATGATGTGGTAGTTGAGAGACAGTGGGGAGTTATGATGAGGTATTTTTTATAACTGGAATATAAAATGTGGTTATAGAATATAACTAGTTGTTATGAGGGTACTTGCTTGTTGCTGTTGCTTTTATAAATATTGACCTCAGACAATATTGCCAGCGGCATATGTAAAACAATAAATGTCAAGGCAAGACATTTATGTATAATTACCTATCTTTTAGAATATTGTTGTCAAAGAGAATGAATTGATTTTAGTGTATTGTTGCTAACTATGAGTGTTATAGAATTTTATACTTTATGAGTACATTTTACGATGAAGAAATTTCACAAGACCAATTTGGGTCAAAATAAGAGAATTAACACAAGATGGGTTACCATCAAAGGGCATTATAGCACAAACCATGGAGAAAGTTGCTGCCCAATGAATATCTATGTTGCCATAACTGAAAGGATTTTAATTCTAAGAAAATTTCACATAATACAACATATAGAAGATTCAATGTAGGGCAAATGGTTAGCCGAAGTGTAACAGAGTTGGAAACAGCACTAGTTAGACAAAATAAGCTAATTTGGACCTGCTGACTTATACAATTAATTCCCTGTTAACAATGGACAGGGTTTTTCTTGGTAATGAAATCTTCTACTTTGATTGAATACAGCCACAAAGAATGCTACGTTAGTGTTGTGGTTTCAATTTCTCACGGGATGTTTTTATAGTGGTTAGGCACTTTTTCTGTGACAACCGTGTATTATTTTGAGTGCATAATTTTGCATCTGTTGTTAATTAATATGTTAAATATTTTGATTAAAAACATAAGTGCTATATTTATGATGTAGGAGACATGTTTGTCATAATGGATGGTTGTTGTTTAACTTATATATGTATATATGTACACATAAGTAACGAAAATTAACTTACCTGTGGACAGAAGAATACATTGACAAACTTCTGTGGATAGTATGATGAACGTTTTAACTTGATCCCTGAAAGAAAGTTGAGGAATATAGACCAGCTACCTCATTCTAATAATGTCACAGTGATGAACCATCTAGTCACTTATGTATTGGTCATAAGAGCTCATATGGAGTTTTAACTCCTTGTATTTACATGTTTATTTTTTTTTCTTTAAAATTCTAATTATCACTTTTTCTGATTAAAGTCTGTATATTATTTGGATGATATTTTTTGTAAAAATTTATCGATGTGAGTCCAAGTTTCAGCTGTGTAAGTGGAGGCAAGACTGTAAATTATCAGCACATGTTATCAAGAAATACTGCCTCGATTGATCCAATTAATGGTGAAATGCATGTTTTTGTTCTGAAGTAGAATCCATTAGACTCTATTGAATGAAGTATAAAACATTTCTCAACTCATTGTTTGACATCATCTTTACTACCCTATTAACCTGTGACATTTTCATGTTTCATACAGAGACAGCATTGATTGACACAGAACTAACAACGTTCAATATTATATCTGTACAGAGAGACTGTCAGCATTGATTAATTCAGAACTAACAACGTTCAATATAACATCTGTACAGAGAGACTGTCAGCTTTGTTTACATCTGTACAGAGAGACTGTCAGCTTTGTTTGAAACAGAACTAACAAATGTTCAATATTACATCTGTACAGAGAGACTGTCATTGATTAATTCAGAACTAACAGATGAGATTATCAGAGAGACTTTGTTTGATACTGAACTAACAAATGTTCAATATTACATCTGTACAGAGATAGACTGTCATCATTGATTAATTCAGAACTAACAATGTTCAATATTACATCTGTACAGAGAGACTGTCAGCATTGTTTGATACTGAACTAACAAATGTTCAATATTACATCTGTACATAGACAGACTGTCAGCATTGATTAATTCAGAACTAACAATGTTCAATATTACATCTGTACAGAGAGACTGTCAGCATTGTTTGATACTGAACTAACAAATGTTCAATATTACATCTGTACAGAGATAGACTGTCATCATTGATTAATTCAGAACTAACAATGTTCAATATTACATCTGTACAGAGAGACTGTCAGCATTGTTTGATACTGAACTAACAAATGTTCAATATTACATCTGTACATAGACAGACTGTCAGCATTGATTAATTCAGAACTAACAATGTTCAATATGACATCTGTACAGAGAGACTGTCAGCATTGATTGAAACAGAACTAACAATGTTCAATATTACATCTGTACAGAGATAGGCTGTCAGCTTTGTTTGATACAGAACTAACAATGTTCAATATAACATCTGTACAGAGATAGGCTGTCAGCTTTGATTAATTCAGAACTAACAATGTTCAATATAACATCTGCACAGAGACAGACTGTCATCATTGATTAATTCAGAACTAACAATGTTCAATATAACATCTGTACAGAGATAGGCTGTCAGCTTTGTTTGATACAGAACTAACAAATGTTCAATATTACATCTGTACAGAAACAAATTGTCAGCATTGATTTATACAGAACTAGCAACTCCCTGATGTGTTCAAGTCTTAATTCAAAATCGTTAGAAAGAGAAAAGAAAGATTACCAGGACACCTTTGAATAGAGAATTTTCTCAGGTGTTCTGGAAAGGGAAGCGTTTCTTGCTTCGTCCACAACACCCATCATGTAAATGTTAGTAAATCCAAGAAAGTAATATTACATTCTAGATAAGAATACGGTTTGTAGCTACAAAAACTACTAGGCATACAAACGAGCATCCAATGCATCTAACTTCATTCTTCTTGAAAGATCTTGCAGCTTAAAGTCAAAAATGAAAGCAAACTACATACTGCCCCATACTACTACTAACTACTACATTGTAACCAGGCATTAAAAAAATCACCGAATCGTTGACTTTGTTGTTTTCATGAGTTATTTATTCCCTGACAGTTAACATCAATATAAATATGGACACTCTGAAACGAACATGAACAATACAATTACATAGAGCATGGTTACAGGGAAGGGAGATAACTTGTATATTTTCATAAGGTACATTAGCCATCAAATATAAACCATAAAAGTGCTATTAATTATATTGTCTATGATATGAAATAAGCAATAATTACTATTACTATCATCATTTACAATCAATGAATATAAATACCAACCACACAATTATACAGACCTTACATAAACAGAAAGATCTAAATATATTACAAGTTGCCTGAAAATATCTTCACCATAATCAATATAGATACACTGGGTTTTCCAGGTTTTTAACCAATATCAAAAAACAACATTTGTAATCACCTGTGTGTGGCACAGAGCCGATTTACACTGCCATCACCTACACTCCATGACAGGCATAAACCTAACTCTAAAATATATAGAAACCCTTTATAATAATTCTAATAATAATAATAAGTAAATAATGGACAAAGGTAAGACAAATTCCTCTATATCCATATCTAAAGTTATATGATGACCAGGAGATGTTTCCTGTTAAAATTCTAAGATTCTCAGTTATTGCATATGTATAGCCAATGGAATGCTAACTAGCAAAAACATTTTCACTATTTAAAAGTTGAAAGGACATTAAAAGTTTCCTCTTTATATATTGTTTCTGGGAAGGCGCACAATTTTTCTACTCCAAGGCGGTCCACGGACACGGTAAACATAATGCTCCGTTTCATCGTTTTCTTTCTGCTTCGCTTCCTCGTATAATGCATTCTCTGCTTCTCTTTCACATTGTGTTAAGTCGTTTCTTATTCGTATTGAGGAAAGTTGACTATGATTTCTGATTTTTTTGATATTTTTAAAGATTCCTTTCTTTGGTTGTTGTGACTCAAAATGAACTTGAATAGACCGGCTGTTATTGGTTATGTCACTGGACTCTAGTCTCTTTCCCAATCGTGTAATTTTTCTAGGCCTATCGTTGTTTGACACTCCACAGACTTCTTATAAATTTCCTACATTTCTTACGTAAAATATCAAGACATTAATTAACACAGATAATGGAATATTTTAGCCATCACACATTTATACATCAATTGGAACAGATATAAAAAAATGTTACTTGATACCGAATTAAAAAGTTTTCTAATTCACAATGGAGATTCTGAATTTAATGAATACTTAAAATGCTTCAACCAATCAAGGTAATAGCTAATCCATACTATAAAGGAATAAATAGAAAATATACTGTAAAGAAAACTCACTTTAAACTGTTTTGTCAGGGTCCTCTGTCAAATGCAGGACCAGATCACTGTATTATTTCAGTTTGGCAGGCTGAAGAAAAACTACCTCCTAACAATGATTTTCCTGCCAAACTGACCACAAGGTATTTATTAATTGTAACCAATAGTAAAAGAGAATAAAATTTGACCACATGCACCTCATGTAACATTGACAAAAGAGCTACAGGTAAAAATATAGGACTATACAGGTAAGTAATCCTAGGATCACTCTGTGTAACCTGTAACACATACTTTCACACACCTTTTTCACATACACAAAAAAAAACAATCAACTTTTAGACAAATCAACATGTATACATACCAGTTGAATAAAACATAATATATTTATGACCCTATTACAAGATGATACCCCATGATACTACAAATAACCCACAACCACAATACAACATACTACTCCATTGTACCATATACTATCCCATAATACACGATACTGCCTCTTACTACCACATAATACCTCTTACTACCACATACTACCCCATAATACTACAAACTACCCAATAATACATGATACTACCCCTTATTACTACATAATACAACATAGTACAACAAAATAACCACCTATTAGCCCTATACAACCACATACTACCCATATCAACACGTACCATCCCACACTACCATATATTACCCCTTACAACCACATACTACCCATATCAACATATACATGTACCACCCCTTACTACCACATACTGCCATACAATACTAATACTACCACATACTACTACATACTACCCCTTAGACCACCCTACTACCACATGCTACCACCATACTACCACCATACTACCACACACTACCACATACTACCACATGCTACCACCATACTACCACACACTACCCCACACTACCACCATATTACCCCATACTACCACATGCTACCACCATACTACCACACACTACCCCACACTACCACCATGTTACCCCATACTACCACACACTACCCCATACTACCACACACTACCCCATGCTACCACACACTACCACATGCTACCACCATACTACCACCATACTACCACTTACTACCACATACTACCACACACTACCACATACTACTACCACACTACCACACACTACCACACACTACCCCATACTACAACATGCTACCACACACTACCACATGCTACCACATACTACCACACACTACCCCACACTACCACCATATTACCACCATACTATCACACACTACCCTATACTACCACCACACTACCACATACTACCCTATACTACCACCACACTACCACATACTACCACCATACTACCACACACTACCACCATATTACCCCATACTTCCACACACTACCACCATATTACCCCATACTACCACCATACTACCCCATACTACACCACACTACCACCATATTACCACCATATTACCCCATACTACCACATACTATCACATGCTACCACACACTACCCCAAACTACCACCATACTACCACCATACTACCCCATACTACCACACACTACCACATACTACCACCATATTACCCCATACTACCACATACTATCACATGCTACCACACACTACCCCAATCTACCACCATACTACCACCATATTACCCCATACTACCACCACACTACCACATGCTACTACGACCTATTAAATATAGTATTCCTTACTAGTTGTTGTGTCAATGTTGATAAGATCCGACCTATAAAATTGTATTACAGTTGTCTCCTCTTATGACGTTCTTTATAAGTAATAAAAGTAATATAAGTTTTAATGATAATGATATAGTAAAAATAAGAAGATATAGTTAATAATGATCCTTATCATTGGGAAGCAGTCGTATCCTACACGTGTGTACAGTATAAAAATCACGTCGACTTTACCACTTTATCTGCGTCAATGAAAACATGTGACGATGAGCTCAGCACTATCCTTCGTTTTCGATTCAGGTGTGACCGAGTGACGGGTTAAGATGTAGCACGTCCTACACTGGTAACCCCGTATTACATCTTACAATGGCCGGGACCGGGAATGACGCGGTCACTGTCTTTTCCCCCTTGAACGTGGTGGGCACGCTGGCTTTAGGTGTGGTCATCTATGGCTTATACGAAGTGATACGATTTTTGTTGCATGTGCGTTACATCAGAAACGTATTCAGGGATGTCCCTGGACCTGCCAAGGCCCACTGGTTGTACGGCAACATATTTCAGGTAATCATGGAAATCATGGATTTTGTCTGGTTTTGTTGGTTTTGTTTTGTTGTTTTTTTTGTTTTTTATTTGCTTCTAAAACGTTGAATTTTTACTTTTATTTTTAATTATTTGAAATATTTGTAACCATGGTTAAACACTGGTAGTGATATTCCCTTGACTAACAGTAACTTCGACTAGTGTAGCAGGGGTTTCGGGTTCTAATCCTAGTGGGGGCAGATAATGTTATATGTTATCATGATTCCAAAATAAATATATAAAGCTCTGATTTAGTTAAGGGGAAAGCAATCCTGACTATATCTTGGCATCGTTTCGAGTGGGCTCATTGCAACAAGATATTGAAAAATAATATGTTATCGGCATTCTCATTCTTTCGGAACTCCTCGGATGTTTTTCAGTGGTGAAGGGAAACAACTCTTCCGTTCTTATGAATCACATATGTAGACTCGACGATAAACGGAATGAAACTTTAGATAAAACCATTTTCCTTCTCACATCATTATTTTGAAAGATTAATGTTAAACTGCTCTGAAGACTGTTCACAGTAGGGCAATCTTACAGAATATTTTTTTGGAGAGACACTGGTCGCAGTAGTATATAGGGCGAAGACCATTGCTTTTTATACACTTCATCTGATACTACGATACAAATCAATATTTCTTTACTTTCTTCTCATGTCGTATTTGAAATGGTCTTTTTCGGGGATATCAAAGAGGAAAAGGGGTTATGGGCATTTTAAAGGGGAAGAAAAGAATAATTTTCTTTCGTGGGACAATGGTCGGAGCAGGGACGTCCCTGGTCGGAGTAGTACAGCGACAGAACATACCGTTATTTAGATGTATATACAATATCAACTTTAGCGCCAATTATCCAACTTCCACTGTTAACATTCTCATTTTTGTCATATAACTTTGATATTATGTTGTAAATGAAGGGTTTCATGCAATTTCTGATTATGTAGTTTTGGTATTAAATTCAAATGTAGGTAAGCTAGACACAATAATGGTATGTTTTGGTATGCGTATGGAGCTGCGTGTCGTCGTCAAATCACGTGTACCACATTCCTTCATCTCCATATTTCGATTATTGTATATTGTGTGTACTATGTGTTATGACATACAGATGAATTGGAGATGCAATCAATCAAACTTTGATATCGCAAGGAAATGACTATTGAAAAAACATGTTACCCTCTGTATGCATGTACTGCTCCAACCGTTGTCCTAAAACTATTTAGCGGGGGACATTCTGTTACAAGTATGCAGATCAATGAAAGATTAAATCGTTCAAGTAACTTAATGATAGCATAAGCATAAAGAATGAAAAACACGATTTTATTTAATGTTCAGAAAACGAGTTTCATGCTGTTAATGATATCATGAATGATCGGCGCTTTATGTACTACACTGACCATCGTCCCCGTGATTAAAAAATCTTGATTTCTGTATGTTTCCCCCTAAAATGTTCCTAGCCCCAATTTCCTTGTTGATTTCCTAAAGAAAATCCTGTCAGAACGTAAATCAAAATGAAACTAAAGAAGTGTTTCTTACTATAGAATGAAGTCAATATACACAGAGTTATCGTCGCTGAGCCCGCTCTATATACTATTCCGACCCAGCATAAAAATATTTCTTTAAAAAATTTTCTTAAAAAATGTAATTTATAACGCTCATTATACATGAATTGACGATAAAAATGATAATAGCATTTAAATGATAACAATATAGAGTTTTCATTCCGTTAATAACTCTAGCCCGGTCTATTATTTTTTAGTAAAAATTTGGGGGAGTTTTGCCTTTAAACACTTATAAAATTAGGTGTAAAACTTCAGAGGGGCTCCAAATGAAAAATAAAAGGACATTTTCAACGTCTGGATCGAACTTTTCCAATGGAACAATGCTAAGATAAAACCACAATGTTTTTTAAAATTTAATCATTTTTGTACAAATGAGTAAATTTTGCCGTATCTGAGTCTGAAGCTTCCTTCGGAGAGGGACAATCAGTTTTGTACGGACCCCTAGGGCTGGAAAGTTGGGGTCCGTCATCTTCTATATCAATGGTAGGATTCAGTTTCGGTTCAGTATAAAGCATGCTTTGGTGAGCGAAACTTTGGGATAAGTGATTTGGCCGACTTGTCAAACTTTCTGACGTCACAGAACGTGCTAATATTCCAGAACTGTTTTAAACACAGTTTTATTTTATGTTTGGGTTTTTCTTTTCATTTGATTTTTCCTTTAAGAATGTAATAAAAAGAAAACTTATGGCTTCCCCATTAAATATCAAATGTATTTCAGTCATATTTTAAAATATCCCAACATTTTTTCACTCGTGCTTTTCATATATACATGTAGATATTCTCGTGTTAGATATTATATGAACGGGACACCATGAAATGTCCTCTCTATTTCAAGACAGTTATACTGTGTCCATTATCAGTGTGTTGTTATTTTAATCTGCCTGTGATAGTAATTTCAATCTGGAGTGAATACTTTTTCAAGATGGTGGCAGTGTCATCACAACAGAAGTAAGTGTCTGATACAAGGTGAAGTTTGGCTGTAATTCCATAACTGATTTGTCCTAGATTTAAATATAGAACACACAATTCCACTAGTTATGATATCACTTAGAATGATTGTATCGGTGATCTGAAGTTAAGCGAGAGTTCAGGACTGAAGGACAACGATATGTGTAAACATGTATGTTTCGTTCTTGATATTGGCGATATGGTGTAAGTCCCCTCACTATCAAAATTTCAAAAATTGCCGAGAACATTCCATATCCGAGCAGTGATGGAACAAATGAACCGTACTTTGATTAAAATGTGTAGCACAACTATTTATCAACATTTCTGATGATAAAAAATGACACTGCCGCCATCTTAAAAGCACACTCCAGATTGATTACACCACAGGGAATTCACCTACTACCTTTAACTTCTTTATGTATTACAGGCCCCAGTCGAAGGAGACAAAAGGCTTGAATATCTACGTAAATTAACAGAACAGTTTCCACGCTTCTACCGTATTTGGATGGGTGTTAAACCTGTGATAATCCTTAACCACCCCGATACAGTCAAGCTTGTCCTTAAGACAGCAGGTATTTAGCGAAGTTGAAACAGCTTCAGGTCAAGTGATATATTTGTAAAAGTACAGAGTTCAGCTAGAGACCGAATGGTTGCTAGTTCGACTCAGAAACTCATTTATTTACATTAAGGGATCAAACTAGTCTTTACGTCTTGTCCACAAGGTGTTGCATATGGAGCCTTCAGTTTTGTCATGAAGTGTTCCAAGGGTGCAGAAAGCAAAAGTGATGGTAACCCCAGGAGTATCGAGGATGGTAGGATAGTAGTTTCAGCTAATGGAAATTTCCCTACTATTACATAGTTTTCTAGATTTGTTTTGTTTCGAATACTTCATAAACAGGTATGTAATAGAAATGTTGAGAAGTATTTTCAAAATTTTATGTACAGTGCTGTCATTACGTTTGGATGTCTTTAGGCGCCATCAACGTTCTTATTTGTTCTCGAACAAAGGAACAATGTTCGTGTCGTATCAATAATGAAAACAAAATACCATATCCCTGGTATGAAAATAAATCTTGTACCAATTTAACAGCAAGAGAGGGAGTTGGTGATGTGATCCCACAGTAGAAATATTCAAAAAGACAAACAGGTGTACACACATGGCCAATGAACAACCTCGCTAATAAGACCACATTGGGGAACGTAAAGAATAAAAAACGTGGAGAGGAATTTTGGGGACTAAAATTATTAATAGTGAAGTGATCTTTATGCAAGGTTTCACTGTATAGTAAATATTCCATACATTCTGTACTATCGCTTTAATCCATATTATTATTCCCCGTCCATTGTCTCTGAAGAAATGTAAAATGATTAACTGTGATAGGACGAAAGTTCAAAGTGACATATTGTTTGTTCTCAAATCGACATGAACGTGTTGTAAAAAGACGCTAGGATGGCCTTCATGAAAATCGAAATCCTAGCTTAACCATTTCGGATATGTTGCTCAAGTAAATGCTGTTGATTCTTGACCTTTAGCAAGTTCCTTTACAAAGGTGACTAAGAAATATTTTTGTTTGGTGTTGGTTAGAACCCAAGTCTGTAGGTTTTGGTGGAATATATCGTCATGGTCGCCCCTGGCTCGGGGACGGTTTGCTCATAGCGGGTGGACAACGCTGGGCCCGCGCACGGCGTCTACTCACTCCAGCCTTCCACTTTGATGTCCTGCGTCCATACATTGACATTTACAACGAGGCTACGGAAGAACTTCTGGTAACTTTTCAAACTTGAAAATTTCGAATCAGTTTCTTGTTAAATAACGTATACACGAGATTGGCATTGTTTATAGTCTCCAACATCACCACTAGCTATCTACAAGTTGAAAACCACTTTGTTGAATGCTCTATTACAGACGAATGTTGAAGTTTGTGCGGAGAAGGGTGAGAGTTTTGAAACATTCAATGTAGTGAGTGCCTGTACCCTTGACATCATACTGAGATGTGCCTTCTCCTACCGTACCAACTGTCAGAACCTCGGGTACGTTTTATACTCTTATCTCATAGGTCACGTGTCACATAAATCTCATCTCAAAAATCTCATCACTCATTATTCTCATCTCACACAACTCGTATTTTACGTTACTCATACGTCTATCATGTCAGCATATTTTGGTTAATTTTATATCACATACCAAGAACAAGCATTCTTAACCTGGAATTTTTCAAACCTCGACTCACAAACCTCTCTTAAATCTTTCGGAGTTATTCTACATTTTAATTTCAGGAAAATTCATCCGTATGTTGCTGCCGTTAATGAGATAGCAGAAGAATGGACCACTCGAAATAGGTAAATTTTGTGATCAGTCATTCGGTCAGTCGAAAGAAGTTTGGATCAGCTGATATGTTTAATCGATGCCAACTGTTTTACAACAGGAGAGATCGTGATAATGTTGTTTTTGTCTTGTAGGAAACCGTGGTTATATCCGGACTTTATTTTCTATCTGACCTCAGGAGGACGGAGGTTTAGACGACAATGTAACTATGTACATAGTGTCGCAGAGGAGGTGATCGACAAGAGACAGCGAATACTTGTAAGCATGGCTGATTAGACCGAGCACACTCCATGTATATCTGTGTCATATTCATGTAAAATTGTGTCAACAAGACGGTGCATAACCGTGTTCGTTAGACGGTGCACACTAGTATGTAAATCAATTCACCGGCGCATGCGTAGGTCAGTGTCAGTAAGAGAGCACGCATTTGTATGACTCTGTATCATATACACACGACACATTCGTATGTTTTACTCTTTTATCGTTATTGTGAGATGGCTTTATCTCCATTTTAACAAGAGCTATATCCTTTATATGATTTATAAGTGATAATGAGTTATCTCCATTTTGACCTTTCTGTGGACGAATTTGACAACGAGTTATCTCCCTTATATGATTTATCGGTGATAATGAGTTATCTCCATTTTGACAATATTTATTTATTTACGTCCGCTATAACGGCCTGTCGACCTTTCAGTGGACGATTTTGACGAGTTATCTCCCTTATATGATTTGTCAGTGATAATGCGTGATCTCCCTAATACTTTTGTTGCGAGCTTGCTTACCGATGACATTGAGTTATATGTATCTGGGACATTATATTTTTTGTGAGCAGACTTACCAGTGATATTGAATTATCTCCCTTATGTCATTAATGTGAGCTCGCTTACCATTGACACTGAGTGATCTCCTTTTATATTTTTGTTGTGAAGTAGCTTACCATTGACAATGAGTGATCTCCCTTTATATCTTTGTTGTGAAGTAGCTTACCATTGACAATGAGTGATCTCCCTTTATATCTTTGTTGTGAAGTAGCTTACCATTGACAATGAGTGATCTCCCTTTATATCTTTGTTGTGAAGTAGCTTACCATTGACAATGAGTGATCTCCCTTTATATCTTTGTTGTGAAGTAGCTTACCATTGACAATGAGTGATCTCCCTTTATATCTTTGTTGTGAAGTAGCTTACCATTGACAATGAGTGATCTCCCTTTATATCTTTGTTGTGAAGTAGCTTACCATTGACAATGAGTGATCTCCCTTTATATCTTTGTTGTGAAGTAGCTTACCGGTAATTATGAGTTAATAACTCCTCATATCTTTGTTTCGAACTGGTTTACAAGTGATCATAATTTTTCTTGTCACATTTATGATCTCAATCCTGGAACACAATATTCCCGTTTTCATATGTTGTATTGTTTTGCTTACTATTATTCAGGATGCTGGGCATGTTCCAGAGAAGAAGTACAAAGATTTCCTGGACATCCTGTTGATGGCTCGGGACGAGAATGGGAATGGACTCACTAGGGAGGAGATTCGAAATGAGGTTGACACATTCTTATTTGAAGGTGAACATTAGTAGTTCTTAACAACGTATTCTGAAATCGCAATGGCGTCCTATTTCGAATGGTCGCAAGTAATCTGGCCACCCCTTTCCCTCATCCACCATACACACAAGCATCATTTGGTTGATTTTGTGTCATTATGAACGCATGTAAATGGATTATCATAAAAGTTTTCACTGCAGTCGTCAGCTCTTACATACCAACTGAATTACACATCATATTATGAGTTTTCGTAATATCGATTCTATATGTTAAGTATGAATGTGTTGATATATCGGCACAGGTCACGACACGACAGCCAGTGCCATCTCCTGGATATTATACTCGTTGGCTACACACCCAGAGCACCAGACCAAGGTCCAGGAGGAAATTGACAGTATCCTAAAAGGTCGAGAATCTGACCGGCTTCTGTGGTCAGTACAGATTATGGAGCTTCAGATTAACCGTTTTGAAATTGTCTTAATTTATAGTTCAATGATTCTACAACTATATCTACATTTGGTTACAAATCTCTCTTGTTAATGAGAAGTATATAGTGCCCTTGTGGATGGGATATTTGTTTATGAGGGAGAGTATGTTCTTCTCTTTCTAGCAGTATTTTTAGGTATATATGTAGTTTATTGAACCTTGTCTGTTCTAGGGATGACTTGCCAAAGTTAGAGTATCTTACTATGTGTATCAAAGAAGGGATGAGACTTCACAGTCCAGTTCCATTCATACAACGAGAAAGTACTCGAGACTTCACCATCGACGGTAAAACCTTGCCCCCGGGTACTAGTCTTTCTTGTAGTATCTTCTCTGTTCATCACAACCCGACGGTGTGGAGCGAGTCCGACAAATTCATTCCTCAGAGGTTCTCAAAGGAAAACTCATCACAAATGGATTCCTTTGCGTTCGTCCCCTTTGCTGCTGGTCCAAGGTAAAGATTTGTGAAATTCTCAGTGACATGAGAAGTATGCCACACGTCTTTAGTTGGGTTCATAACCGCCATGTAAATATATGTCAATCTAAGACAGAAATGCCAATTCCCAAACATACTATTAACGATCACTAAATATACTACTAACACCCACCAAATATACTACTAACACCCACCAAATATACTACTAACACCCACCAAACATACTACTAACGACCACCAAATATACTACTAACACCCACCAAATATACTACTAACACCCACCAAACATACTACTAACGACCACCAAATATACTACTAACACCCGCCAAATATACTACTAACACCCACCAAACATACTATTAACGATCACCAAATATACTACTAACACCCGCCAAATATACTACTAACACCCGCCAAATATACTACTAACACCCACCAAATATACTACTAACACCCGCCAAATATACTACTAACACCCGCCAAATATACTACTAACACCCACCAAACATGTTACACCCACCAAATATACTACTAACACCCACCAAATATACTACTAACACCCGCCAAATATACTACTAACACCCACCAAATATACTACTAACACCCGCCAAATATACTACTAACACCCACCAAACATACTACTAACACCCGCCAAATATACCACTAACACCCAGCAAACATGTTACACCCACCAAATATACTACTAACGACCACCAAATATACTACTAACACCCACCAAATATACTACTAACACCCGCCAAATATACTACTAACACCCACCAAACATACTATTAACGATCACTAAATATACTACTAACACCCACCAAACATGTTACACCCACCAAATATACTACTAACACCCACCAAATATACAACTAACACCCGCCAAATATACTACTAACACCCGCCAAATATACTACTAACACCCACCAAACATACTACTAACACCCGCCAAATATACTACTAACACCCAGCAAACATACTATTAACGATCACTAAATATACTACTAACACCTACCAAATGTGTTACACCCACCAAATATACTACTAACGACCACCAAATATACTACTAACACCCACCAAATATACTACTAACACCCGCCAAATATACTACTAACACCCACCAAACATACTATTAACGATCACTAAATATACTACTAAAACACCCACCAAATATACTACTAACACCCGCCAAATATGTTACACCCACCAAATATACTACTAACACCCACCAAATGTGTTACACCCACCAAATATACTACTAACACCCACCAAATATGTTACACCCACCAAATATACTACTAACACCCACCAAATATATAACTAACACCCACCAAATATACTACTAATGACCACCAACCAAGCTCCATAAAGAATAGGATGTTTATCATGAGATAATTTTGAAGACTGTAGAATTTTCCCATAATCTTTATCCATCGGTATCTCAGGCAACACTGTCGTGACTGTCTGAGAGCTACTGACATTTTCCACGAAGGTAAGACTGTATCATGTTTTAAGTTTTCTTTTTTCCATAGAAACTGTATTGGACAGCATTTTGCAATGCACGAGGAGAAAGTTACCATTGCCAGAATACTTCATAGGTGAGTAACTCTAAATAATTCCATACTACGTATCAGGTAGCCCTACAATGTATGCAAAGCAACGCTGCTTCCTGGAAGTTGACGCCGATGGATGATGTGTGTTGAATAAGAATGAACTATAGTCCAGTCATACACGCAAAGTAGTGTATGAACTCTTTGTATTTGAAACAAACTATCTTTAAAGGAACTGCGAACTTGAATATCACCTGTCTTAAAAGCAACTCTAAAGTAAATGTTTTAGGTGATAAAGCACTAAGCGACGTTGACTTTGGACTCTACGAAAGAACCTGATAAATAATTTCAGGCAAGCAAATTTGATGAAGAGACACGACTCAGGTATGGGTGAACCAGCCCATCAGAACTGGCCCATCAGTACTGGCCCATCAGAACTGGCCCATCAGTACTGGCCCATCAGAACTAGCCCATCTTACCGGTCCATCAGTACTAGCCCATCAGAACTAGCCCATCAGTACTGGCCCATCAGTTCTGGCCCATCATACTGGCCCATCAGAACTAGCCCATCAGTACTGGCCCATCAGTTCTGGCCCATCATACTGGCCCATCAGAACTAGCATATCAGTACTGGCACATCAGAACTGCCCCATCATACTGGCCAATCAGAACTAGCCCATCAGAACTAGCCCATCAGTTCTGGCCCATTAGTTCTGGCCCATCAGATCTAGCCCATCCGTACTGGCCCATCAGTTCTGACCCATCGGAACTAGCCCATCAGTTCTGGCCCATCATACTGGCCCATCCGATCTAGCCCATCAGTTCTGGCCCATCCGATCTAGCCCATCCGTACTGGCCCATCAGTTCTGACCCATCTGAACTAGCCCATCAGTTCTGGCCCATCATACTGGCCCATCCGATCTAGCCCATCAGAACTAGCCCATCAGTTCTGGCCCATCATACTGGCCCATCCGATCTAGCCCATCAGAACTAGCCCATCAGTTCTGGCCCATCCGATCTAGCCCATCAGAACTAGCCCATCAGTTCTGGCCCATCATACTGGCCCATCCGATCTAGCCCATCAGTATTGGACTATCAGAACTACCCCATCAGTACTGGAAATGTTGATAGAAACAGTGAACTCTGTCACGTTCTGTATTGACAATAATTGACCAATGGTTTACATTGTAATTAAAAGTTGTGTTGGTCAATTATAATTTTACGTTTCCTTTGTACATACACATAATCCATGAGTCATGTTCGTAAATGACAGTCTGTGGTATTGGGATTGATCGACACATATACATATATGATATTTTTTAAACAGGTATACTCTCGAAGTGGATCCCGCTGTTGAAGTGAAGAAACATCCCGCCGCTGTGATGAGAAGTAAAAACGGTGTATATCTGTACGCCAAACCTCGTTACTGATTCATAACAAAACGTCATCACTGATCCACGGCAAACCTGGTCACTCATTCGTGTCAAACGTCATCACTGATCCACGGCAAACCTGGTCACTCATTCGCGTTAAACGCCACTATTCCTTGCCAAACTTATCAGACCCATTTCATTTCATGTCAACCCTTGCCACTGAAATCTTACTGTCAACATGTGTTGATGTGAAAAAAGACCCGTAATCATGTTTCGTGTGTCAATTGTATTTTTATGCAGAAATAAAGTATTATTATATAAAATGCGTTGTTAATGTATTTGTGTCTGGAAGGCAAATCCTGTCATGTATATGAATATTCATAATACATTATCAACTACACACATTATATGTACTGCAGGGTTCGAAATTAACTATATACAACTAGCAAAATTCCAGCTAAAATCTGGTAATTGCTAGCTGGAAAATAATGAACTAGCAAAATTTTGCGAGTGGAAATGAACTATACCTAATCACTATTTTTGACGAAACATCTGCCACAAAATGCCTTTCTCCGTCTGCCTTTAAATGAGTAAATAGGTTACAAACGCTAAAGTGACATAGATAATCAATACATTCGGAATTCCTCCAGTTTTTCCCTTGGTAGTTATGTGTAAACCGAATAAAAAGTTGTCTTGGAAAACTCTACGATTTCTGTCTGCTCATCATGTGAAACGCGACATATCAGCTATGATAACAAACTTTTTCAAAAGGAAAGCATCTGACAGTGCTTGCGATGACCAAGACAATAGTCAACAGCCACAGCCTGGCCCTTCTGAAAAAAAAAATCGTCGAAATCGGAGAGCGTTTCTCCTGACGCTGCTGATATAAAATCACCGCCACAACAACGTGCATATACGGCCACGTTAAAAACGGTACGGAAATGAGAAAAAGAATTGAATATCATTCTAGAATACAACAAATCATCTAGTAACGATGTTGTTAATACAGTATGGCGCAATGACTGCCGAGAACACGGAAGATAGTTGTCTTGATAATAATTTATTGAAATGATCGTTAATGTGAACAATTTTTTCAAATAATATAAATTTGGGTACAGTTACATTTATAAATGGATCTGATCATATGACAGTCAGATTAGATGTAGCTCATACATGAAAAAAAGAAAACTGATAAATTCAAAGTTATATAGATTTAAAATGTTGATACAGGTAGCAATCAGCCATTCTTATCCAATGTCTTGGATAACTTTTCCAATATCACTCAGTTCCTGAAAAACTCAATATAACAGTAAATAAAAGTGAAACCTATTCACTAAAAAAATGCTAGTTTGTTCATCATTTTTGCTAGTGGAAATTTTAGGCACTAGCAATGGTTTGCTAGTGCCTAAAACAGTTAATTTCGACCCCTGGTAGTACTTACGTTAAATTGAGACGAAAATATGCACAGCCTTGTACTAAACTTTATGAGACCAAATATTTCCCCTACGGTTGCTTTGCACGTGCATGATTTATACGTCGTTACGGGTCAAGCTTTCCTGACAATGTATATTTTTTATATATCATTCACTTGTACACTTGTCTTTCATTTATTCTGACTTCGTGCAATTTTTTTTAGTGATGGAGCATGTACATAGAAATAAATGCCTGGTTTTTGCTTAAGAATTTTCCTTAATTCCTAAACACCATCAGAAGTCATGGATATGTTCCCGTTCTTATTTGCGAATTCGTATGCAGAATATATTAAAAAAACTTTTTCTTTAATATTTTAAGTAGTTCTCCGATATAACACAATCTGGGACGTATAACGAACCTATTTTAAGTAGGTCTCCGATATAACACAGTCTGTGGTGTACAATGAACCTATTTTAAGTAGTTCTCCGATATAACACAGTCTGGGACGTATAACGAACCTATTTTAAGTAGTTCTCCGATATAACACAGTCTGGGGTGTACAATGAACCTATTTTAAGTAGTTCTCCGATATAACACAGTCTGGGGTGTACAATGAACCTATTTTAAGTAGGTCTCCGATATAACACAGTCTGTGGTGTACAATGAACCTATTTTAAGTAGTTCTCCGATATAACACAATCTGGGACGTATAATGAACCTATTTTAAGTAGTTCTCCGATATAACACAGTCTGGGGTGTATAACGAACCTATTTTAAGTAGTTCTCTGATATAACACAGTCTGGGGTGTACAATGAATCTATTTTAAGTAGATCTCCGATATAACACAGTCTGTGGTGTACAATGAACCTATTTTAAGTAGTTCTCCGATATAACACAGTCTGGGGTGTACAATGAACCTATTTTAAGTAGGTCTCCGATATAACACAGTCTGTGGTGTACAATGAACCTATTTTAAGTAGTTCTCCGATATAACACAGTCTGGGACGTATAACGAACCTATTTTAAGTAGTTCTCCGATATAACACAGTCTGGGGTGTACAATGAACCTATTTTAAGTAGTTCTCCGATATAACACAGTCTGGGACGTATAACGAACCTATTTTAAGTAGTTCTCCGATATAACACAGTCTGGGGTGTACAATGAACCTATTTTAAGTAGTTCTCCGATATAACACAGTCTGGGACGATATAACACAATCTGGGAATGAACCTATTTTAAGTAGTTCTCCGATATAACACAGTCTGGGGTGTACAATGAACCTATTTTAAGTAGTTCTCCGATATAACACAATCTGGGACGTATAACGAACCTATTTTAAGTAGTTCTCCGATATAACACAGTCTGGGACGTATAATGAACCTATTTTAAGTAGTTCTCCGATATAACACAATCTGTGGTGTACAATGAACCTATTTTAAGTAGTTCTCCGATATAACACAGTCTGGGGTGTACAATGAACCTATTTTAAGTAGTTCTCCGATATAACACAGTCTGGGACGTATAATGAACCTATTTTAAGTAGTTCTCCGATATAACACAGTCTGGGGTGTACAATGAACCTATTTTAAGTAGTTCTCCGATATAACACAATCTGTGGTGTACAATGAACCTATTTTAAGTAGTTCTCCGATATAACACAATCTGTGGTGTACAATGAACCTATTTTAAGTAGTTCTCCGATATAACACAGTCTGGGGTGTACAATGAACCTATTTTAAGTAGTTCTCCGATATAACACAATCTGTGGTGTACAATGAACCTATTTTAAGTAGTTCTCCGATATAACACAGTCTGGGACGTATAACGAACCTATTTTAAGTAGTTCTCCGATATAACACAATCTGTGGTGTACAATGAACCTATTTTAAGTAGTTCTCCGATATAACACAGTCTGGGACGTATAATGAACCTATTTTAAGTAGTTCTCCGATATAACACAGTCTGGGGTGTACAATGAACCTATTTTAAGTAGTTCTCCGATATAACACAGTCTGGGACGTATAATGAACCTATTTTAAGTAGGTCTCCGATATAACACAGTCTGGGGTGTACAATGAACCTATTTTAAGTAGTTCTCCGATATAACACAGTCTGGGACGTATAACGAACCTATTTTAAGTAGTTCTCCGATATAACACAGTCTGGGGTGTACAATGAACCTATTTTAAGTAGTTCTCCGATATAACACAGTCTGGGACGTATAATGAACCTATTTTAAGTAGGTCTCCGATATAACACAGTCTGGGGTGTACAATGAACCTATTTTAAGTAGTTCTCCGATATAACACAGTCTGGGACGTATAATGAACCTATTTTAAGTAGTTCTCCGATATAACACAGTCTGGGGTGTACAATGAACCTATTTTAAGTAGTTCTCCGATATAACACAGTCTGGGACGTATAACGAACCTATTTTAAGTAGTTCTCCGATATAACACAGTCTGGGGTGTACAATGAACCTATTTTAAGTAGTTCTCCGATATAACACAGTCTGGGACGTATAACGAACCTATTTTAAGTAGTTCTCCGATATAACACAGTCTGGGGTGTACAATGAACCTATTTTAAGTAGTTCTCCAATATAACACAATCTGTGGTGTACAATGAACCTATTTTAAGTAGTTCTCCGATATAACACAATCTGGGGTGTATAATGAACCTATTTTAAGTAGTTCTCCGATATAACACAGTCTGGGGTGTACAATGAACCTATTTTAAGTAGTTCTCCGATATAACACAGTCTGGGGTGTACAATGAACCTATTTTAAGTAGTTCTCCGATATAACACAGTCTGTGGTGTACAATGAACCTATTTTAAGTAGTTCTCCGATATAACACAATCTGTGGTGTACAATGAACCTATTTTAAGTAGTTCTCCGATATAACACAGTCTGGGGTGTACAATGAACCTATTTTAAGTAGTTCTCCGATATAACACAGTCTGGGACGTATAACGAACCTATTTTAAGTAGTTTTCCGATATAACACAGTCTGGGGTGTACAATGAACCTATTTTAAGTAGTTCTCCAATATAACACAATCTGTGGTGTACAATGAACCTATTTTAAGTAGTTCTCCGATATAACACAATCTGGGGTGTATAATGAACCTATTTTAAGTAGTTCTCCGATATAACACAGTCTGGGGTGTACAATGAACCTATTTTAAGTAGTTCTCCGATATAACACAGTCTGGGGTGTACAATGAACCTATTTTAAGTAGTTCTCCGATATAACACATTCTGGGGTGTACAATGAACCTATTTTAAGTAGTTCTCCGATATAACACAATCTGTGGTGTACAATGAACCTATTTTAAGTAGTTCTCCGATATAACACAATCTGTGGTGTACAATGAACCTATTTTAAGTAGTTCTCCGATATAACACAATCTGTGGTGTACAATGAACCTATTTTAAGTAGTTCTCCGATATAACACAATCTGTGGTGTACAATGAACCTATTTTAAGTAGTTCTCCGATATAACACAATCTGTGGTGTACAATGAACCTATTTTAAGTAGTTCTCCGATATAACACAGTCTGTGGTGTACAATGAACCTATTTTAAGTAGTTCTCCGATATAACACAGTCTGTGGTGTACAATGAACCTATTTTAAGTAGTTCTCCGATATAACACAGTCTGTGGTGTACAATGAACCTATTTTAAGTAGTTCTCCGATATAACACAATCTGTGGTGTACAATGAACCTATTTTAAGTAGTTCTCGGATATAACACAATCTGTGGTGTACAATGAACCTATTTTAAGTAGTTCTCCGATATAACACAGTCTGTGGTGTACAATGAACCTATTTTAAGTAGTTCTCCGATATAACACAATCTGGGACGTATAACGAACCTATTTTAAGTAGGTCTCCGATATAACACAATCTGGGACGTATAACGAACCTATTTTAAGTAGTTCTCCGATATAACACAATCTGTGGTGTACAATGAACCTATTTTAAGTAGTTCTCCGATATAACACAATCTGGGACGTGTAATGAACCTATTTTAAGTAGGTCTTTGATATAACACAATCTGTGGTGTACAATGAACCTATTTTAAGTAGTTCTCCGATATAACACAATCTGGGACGTGTAATGAACCTATTTTAAGTAGGTCTCCGATATAACACAATCTGTGGTGTACAATGAACCTATTTTAAGTAGTTCTCCGATATAACACAATCTGGGACGTATAATGAACCTATTTTAAGTAGGTCTCCGATATAACACAATCTGTGGTGTACAATGAACCTATTTTAAGTAGGTCTCCGATATAACACAATCTGGGACGTATAATGAACCTATTTTAAGTAGTTCTCCGATATAACACAATCTGGGACGTATAACGGACCTATTTTAAGTAGGTCTCCGATATAACACAATCTGGGGTGTACAATGAACCTATTTTAAGTAGTTCTCCGATATAACACAATCTGGGACGTATAATGAACCTATTTTAAGTAGGTCTCCGATATAACACAATCTGTGGTGTACAGTGAACCTATTTTAAGTAGGTCTCCGATATAACACAATCTGGGACGTATAATGAACCTATTTTAAGTAGTTCTCCGATATAACACAATCTGGGAAGTATAACGAACCTATTTTAAGTAGTTCTCCGATATAACACAATCTGGGGTGTACAATGAACCTATTTTAAGTAGTTCTCCGATATAACACAATCTGGGACGTGTAATGAACCTATTTTAAGTAGGTCTTTGATATAACACAATCTGGGATGTATAATTAACCTATTTTATATTCATTTCATCATTATGACACCAAAAACGCGTGAGCGTGTGTGTGTGTTGGGGGGGGGGGGGGGGGGGGGGAGTTATGAAGCATTTCTGGAGCTGTTGATTCTAATCCTAGTCGATTTCTTCTCATTTCTTAAATTGAGTTCCAGAAAAGGCGCAACAAATACTGATTTAGTTAAACCACCACTTTATTGAGAACTCTTTTTAAGAGTCACGGGTAATATATACTTTATAGGTACAGGGGCACTGCCCCACCCCACTTCACTCCATCTTTTTTTATTTGCTTATATATATACAGATCATGATATATTTAAACATCCCTGAAAAATGTTATAACTATCGAATAATAAAGAAATATTACTTTTTTTACATTAGATTTTAATTTAATAGAGCATGATATATCAATGAAAACCTCGAAACTTAAAAACCAATTGTAGGCTAACTGTACCCGCAAATACTTTTAAAAATCGGCTCATGAATTTTAGCGTCGAAGAATGTGCTAGGGGAGGCTACTCTTATAAAATAACAACGATCTAAATTTTAACCCGTGGACTTCGGGATGTGAAAAACAGTGACGCGATCAGCTGATGATGCGGACGTGATGTGTATAGATTATCGTTGTACTGATATGTGTCTAGTTTATGAGAAAGTTATCGACATTATCTGTCACATCGGACAGCGAGAAGAAGAAGTTTGTTTTTACAAATTCGTACGGTGTTCACCTGTTGTTTACAAACTTGTCCCTCCATCACAATGAAGACAAGTCTCCTGTCTAGTCCGGCTATGACAGTCTGGAACATCGTCGGAACGATTGCCCTGGGACTTTTTATTTATATTGTGTATGAAGTTATACGATTCCTACTACACGTGCGTTACGTGTGTAAAACGTATCGTGATTTACCCGGACCTGACGGTACACATTGGCTGTATGGGCATCTACACCAGGTAAATATAAACAAGTTAATTTAACTTTTAGTCCAGGTTATGATGTTTTTAAGTCGGAATAAAAACACTAAAAACAAGTTTGTATAACGGCCTTTGATTGACTGTCCACAAGATAATCTATATCATGAGTAATACATTTATATTTATGTAACAGGTGAGGGAAGTTGCCCATCACAAGCTGAGACTGCCAAGCTTGTTTTTTATGGTTGAGTGTGACCAATGCAAAACACCAATATGGCGGAATATGATTAAGACTACCAGTAATAAATATTTCTATCAGATTTTTTTTATATTGCCTATTAGCAAATCAAAACTACAGATCAAGGTTTCAAATCACTTTATCAAATACCAAGTATTTTTTCTGTATGTGTGGATTTATTTTCTGCAGCTTCCAAAGACAAGCCATGAGAGAATTGAGTATGGGATGAAAAATACTATAAAGTTTCCACGATTCTACCGCTTTTGGTCAGGCCCTAGGGCAAATATTGTCCTGAATCACCCCGAAACTATCAAAGTTGTCATCAAAACAGCAGGTGGGAATGTAATGATCTTAGTTTTAAAATAGCGGCCATTCTTAGCAATAGATAAGAATTTCCAATTAGTTATATATATATATGTAAACATGCAATATTACAAGATGAATGGTTTGTTTCACTTATTTTTGGCGCATTTATAGTGTATAATGATTATAGGGTGATGTACACTTATTATAAATGAGATATACAGAATGTATACCTGCACCTGTAACAATGGATTGGCACTTTCTTTATACAATGTGTGCATATTCATTATTGACTGATAAATACATTATATAAACCTTAAAGTTGTCTTTTTATCTGATGGTGATGTTCTTTATTTCAGAGCCAAAGCCAACAGGATTTGGAGGTTCATATAGACATGCCTTACCCTGGCTCGGCCCAGGACTGCTCATTGCAGGGGGCAAGAAGTGGGCTCGGGCTCGCCGTCTACTCACACCAGCTTTCCATTTTGATGTCTTACGACCATATATGGATATCTACAACGAGGCAGCAGAAGAATTGTTGGTAAGGCTCAGCTGAGAGAGGAACATTTACTGTTAGAATGTCATGATCAGCCCCGTAACATAAGTAATGTAGGAGACCTTAACATTAATATTCCATGATCACATTTTCCTGAAAAAAATTAGGAAAACAAAAATGCTTTTATAAACAACGAGGACAAGACATTTTCTTTCCAAATATTTTTGTTACATCTGATTTTTTTTATAGAAAAACATTGACCTGTGTGCGGAGAAAGGCGAGAGTTTTGAAACATTCAATGTAGTAAGTGCCTGTACCCTTGACATCATACTGAGATGTGCCTTCTCCTACCGTACCAACTGTCAGAACCTCGGGTACGTTTTATACTCTTATCTCATTGGTCACATGTCACATAAATCTCATCACACAAATCTCATCTCACACAACTCTCATTTTACACAACTTTTGTTTAACGCAACTCTTATCTTCCAAAACTCTCATCTCGTACAATTTTCATCCAATGCAACATTCGACACTGATGGAAGTTTAGCACAATTTTCCTCTCACACGTTTCACTTCATCTAATTTATCTTGACCATCAAAACTTGAATGCATATAAAACAGTTACATTTGATGTTGGAGGATTCAATGCTTGTCTGCAGGCCAGTTTTATATTCAATTTTTTAATGAACTTAAATCTGCAGGGAAAGTCATCCATATGTGACAGCAGTGAAGGAATTAGCTGAGGCCTGGGGTGTGAGAAGTCGGTAAGTAGGCAGGACCATGTCACACTCTTTACACTGAAAGTTTAAACTTACAGAGACAAGAGGATTTCATGTCAGATAAATTTACAGAAATAGATTTCATGTAGAAAACACTGACAACAGAATATTTCCATTAACACAGTCCCCATAAATATATCATGGCTAAAATAATTGCAAGTGAACACAAGTACACAATTATATATAATGACTATTTGTGTACCCATTAGTGGTAAGTGACTATTTGTGTACCCATTAGTGGTAAATGACTATTTGTGTACCCATTAGTGGTAAGTGAATATTTGTGTACCCATTAGTGGTAAATGACTATTTGTGTACTCATTAGTGGTAAGTGACTATTTGTGTACCAATTAGTGGTAAGTGAATATTTGTGTACTCATTAGTGGTAAATGACTATTTGTGTACTCATTAGTGGTAAGTGACTATTTGTGTACCCATTAGTGGTAAGTGACTATTTGTGTACTCATTAGTGGTAAATGACTATTTGTGTACAATTAGTTGTAAGTGACCATTTGTGTACTCATTAGTGGTAAATGACTATTTGTGTACCCATTAGTGGTAAATGACTATTTGTGTACTCATTAGTGGTAAGTGACTATTTGTGTACCCATTAGTGGTAAGTGACTATTTGTGTACCCATTAGTGGTAAGTGACTATTTGTGTACCCATTAGTGGTAAGTGACTATTTGTGTACTCATTAGTGGTAAGTGACTATTTGTGTACCCATTAGTGGTAAGTGAATATTTGTGTACTCATTAGTGGTAAGTGACTATTTGTGTACCAATTAGTGGTAAGTGACTATTTGTGTACCAATTAGTGGTAAGTGACTATTTGTGTACCCATTAGTGGTAAATGACTATTTGTGTACCCATTAGTGGTAAGTGAATATTTGTGTACCCATTAGTGGTAAGTGAATATTTGTGTACCCATTAGTGGTAAGTGACTATTTGTGTACCCATTAGTGGTAAGTGACTATTTGTGTACCCATTAGTGGTAAGTGAATATTTGTGTACCCATTAGTGGTAAGTGAATATTTGTGTACCCATTAGTGGTAAGTGACTATTTGTGTACCCATTAGTGGTAAGTGACTATTTGCGTACTCATTAGTGGTAAATGACTATTTGTGTACCCATTAGTGGTAAGTGACTATTTGTGTACCAATTAGTGGTAAGTGAATATTTGTGTACCCATTAGTGGTAAGTGACTATTTGTGTACCCATTAGTGGTAAGTGACTATTTGTGTACCCATTAGTGGTAAGTGAATATTTCCACATGCAGTTGTGAAAAGTGATAAACTTGAGTACCCAGTGATTGGTAATGTATTGAGTACCCTGTAGTAGTTAGCGAATATGTCAGTAGTCAGTATTGGTAAGTGATATATTTGAGTACCTTGCAGTATCAAATGAATGTTTCAGTAACCAGTGGGAAATGATGTAATGATTGCTCAGTAATGATAAGCGAGTATTTCAAAGAGTACCTTAACATGGTAATATAGTATTTCAGTGAGTACCCCATATTGGTAATATAGTATTTCAGTGAGTACCCTATAGTGGTAATTGAGTATTTCAGTGAGTACCCTATAGTGGTAATTGAGTATTTCAGTGAGTCCCCTATAGTGGTAAGTCAGTATTTCAGTGAGTACCTTGTGGTGGTAAGCAAGTATTTTAAGTGACTAACCTGTGGTAGTAAGTCAGTATTTCAGTGAGTACCTTGTAATGGTAAGCAAGTATTTTAAGTGAGTAACCTGTGGTAGTAAGTCAGTATTTCAGTGAGTACCTTGTGGTAGTAAGTGAGTATTTCAGTGAGTACCTTGTGGTAGTAAGTGAGTATTTCAGTGAGTACCTTGTGGTAGTAAGTGAGTATTTCAGTGAGTACCTTGTGGTAGTGAGTATTTCAGTGAGTACCTTGTGGTAGTAAGTGAGTATTTCAGTGAGTACCTTGTGGTAGTAAGTGAGTATTTCAGTTAGTACCTTGTGGTAGTAAGTGAGTATTTCAGTTAGTAGCCTGTGGTGGTAAGTGAATATTTTAATACTGGCTGAAGTAGTAACAAGTGTTTTATATGCTGAAAAGAACAGATACAATTTATCTTTACTGTGAATTTTGTAGAAATCCTATGCTGTATTTTGACTTGATCTTCTACCTGACTAAAACTGGACGACGCTTCAACAAGAATTGTAAATTTGTACACAAAGTGGCCGAGGAAGTAATTGACAAACGCAAGGAGACATTGGTATGTTACTATTGTTTTATGATATCAGTACAATATGATTTATTAATGTTGCCTGCCTGAAAATAAACAGTGTCTAGACTACCTCATGAATAATGTAAAACACCTACTAGGTATGTCAGTTCATCCATCCTGCCTGTTTGTGGACTTTACCTCTCACTGAAGAGATTGGAGCGCTTGATCTCTAAGTGATGTAGTGGTAAAAATTTTAATTTAGCAGTAATAAAGATTATGACATCATGATGTTGAATTATACAGAAAGATATAACAAGTTATATTATTCTCCACCTGTTGTCAATTTTTACTGGTTACCCAAATTCCTTAGTGTCAATTTTTACTGGTTACCCATATTCCATAATGTCAAATGTTCATGGTTACGAATAATCCTTGTTTCAACTGTTACTGGTTTTTTTATAGTCCATAGTATCAACTTTCTCTGGTTACCCATGATCCTTAGTATCAACTTTTTCTGGTTACCCATGATCCTTAGTGTCAATTTTTACTGGTTACCCATGATCCTTAGTGTCAATAGACTTGATTACCCATAATCCTTAGTGTCAATAGACTTGATTACCCATAATCCTTAGTGTCAGTAGACTTGATGACCCTGACCTGTCGCATTTCGAAGCAAAGTCTAGCAGAGAGTAAAATAATTCTGGCAGGCAATCCAGTATATAGTGCCAAATATTCCTGATTACCTATAATACTTAGTGTCAACAGTTACTGGACACCAAAATCTCCTAGTGTCAACTAGTTTTCTCCCTTTACCTGAATTTCCAGGATGCTGGACATGTTCCAGAGAAGAAGTATAAAGATTTCTTGGACATCCTATTGATGGCTCGGGACGAGAATGGGAATGGACTCAGCAGAGAGGAAATTCGAAATGAAGTTGATACATTCTTATTTGAAGGTATTTGAATGTGCAGTCTAGCAAACATGAAATATCCCTACCGTAAGCTAATTCCATTCTCAGCCAGGTAATATTGTTACCTATAGAATCCATTAGAGTACCACAAACATTTTAAAACCAACATACATGTATTATATTCATCTAAATATCTTTGGTCCCGTAACAAGGTCACGACACAACGGCCAGCGCCATCTCCTGGATCCTGTATGCTCTGGCTACACACCCAGAACACCAGACCAAAGTCCAGGAGGAGATTGATCATGTCCTGGAAGGGCGAGAATCTGGCCGACTTGAGTGGTCAGTTTACCTTTTGTTTTACGATGAATCATGTGTATGTAATAGAAAATATTTACAATTTGTCACATAAATTTTCTGACATGTATTATGGCCTTGTCATGATAATTTAGACACAAAATCATCGTGTGATAAAACTATGGTGATGTTATAACTGCATGACGTCACTTAAATGTCTTAGGGTTGAAAAAAACCTGTGTATTGTAAAGGGAAATTAGTGTGAGATTTTTATTTTGATGAGAAGATTCTTACACTTTTGCACAGTTTCTTTCTTAAGTACAAGTGGCATTCCAATCAAACCTGGAATATAGGTACAGTGTAGGTTGGAATAAAGGTTCTTATAGCACAAACATTGGAATATTTGAGTGTGACCTTTCCATGACTACACGGTCACCTTTATCTTATAACACAACCAGTAGAAGATTAGAGTGTGACCTTTCCATGACTACACAGTCACCTTCATCTTATAACACAACCAGTAGAAAATTAGTGTGTGACCTTTCAATGATTACATTAGTGTGTGACCTTTCCACGACTACACGGTCAACTATCTTATAACACAACCAGTAGAAGATTAGAGTGTGACCTTTCCATGACTACACAGTCACCTTCATCATATAACACAACCAGTAGAAAATTAGTGTGTGACCTTTCAATGATTACATTAGTGTGTGACCTTTCCATGACTACACGGTCAACTATCTTATAACACAACCAGTAGAAGATTAGAGTGTAACCTTTCCATGACCTTCACCTTCATCAGATAAACGCCCCCATAGAGCGTACTAACCCTGACATATGCAGTGTATGAGATGATAGGGAATGAACCTTTTCACCTGTACTATAATCCTCTGTAGACTAAGGTCAAAAATAGTGTGACAAGATGGTAAACAGAACACCCTATTTATGTTACCAACTTTAAGGAAATGTTCTGAAAGACATTGTAGTATGTACATCTGAACCTTCCAAATACATTACATAAATTTGGTTGTTTTGGTGGGGGGGGGGGGGGGGGGGTTTGGACAAAAATGTGAAACTTTTGAGAAATGACTACAATGTCATCATGACTTGCTCTCTACTCTACTCTCCAGAATTACTTTATAGTCATATTGAAACAAGTACTGTTATATTCCATGCAAGTTCTTCTCTCCATCTTCGGGACAAGTGATATTTTGGAGTCAAAAAAGTTATATCTGAGAAATTACAGAATGGAAGGATTTATAAATTTTCATGTTTTGCAATATTTAAACATGACAGTAACATTTCTATAGTGTTTACATTTTAGTGATTTCCTTGGAAAGCTTAATTTTGCATTTTGCTTAAAAATGTCCATACTATCAAACAGGACAAGGGAGACTTTTAAGATATACATAATTCCTGTTTAAAGTGAAAGTCACTGTTGTGTGTGTGTCTGATTACTTACATTAAATCTGTTACAGGGAGGACATGCCAAAGTTGGAATACCTGACAATGTGTATTAAAGAAGGAATGAGATTGTATAGTCCTGTACCATTTATACAACGACAGAGTACACAGGAGTTCACTATCGACAACCAGACCTTCCCCGCCGGCACCTTTATGTCAATTGGAATATACTCTGTACATCACAATCCAAAGGTGTGGGAAAACGCCTATCAGTTCATACCTCAGAGATTCTCAAAGGAAAATGCTGCGAAAATGGATTCATTTGCCTTCATCCCTTTCTCAGCTGGTCCACGGTAAGTAGTTAGTGCAAAAAGGTAAGGAAACTACCAGAAAATTCATTATGATGCTATTTGTATTTAGATAAAATTCCTGTGATGAAACAGAGAAGTATCGCCATGACAATAGATGTAGAATTGGTTTCCTGTTATCAAGCAGGATCATTCTCATTATGTTCTTATACCACACAAAACATCATATAAAATCGATAAACTGATCAAGATTTTTTATGATGGATGAAATAATATTACAAATAAAAGAGACATTAACATTTATCAAGAATGCAATAGTTATTTCATGATTTTTTTGAAAATGGTGCACATCAATTCCTGAAAAAAATCTTATCCTTCTTCAGAAACTGCATTGGACAAAATTTTGCCATGAATGAGGAGAAAGTAGTCATAGCAAGGATATTACAAAAGTAAGTAAGAGATTTCCTTTTTGCTGTGATCAGTGGAATTGCCTCCCCTTTGTTATTGTCAGAGTTTTCTCCCCTTTGCTGTTTTGTAAACTGTTAAGCAACTACTACTTCAATGAGCAGGGCTTATCAATGTAGGTATCTTGTTAAATGGTTTTTAGGTCATGTCACCTGAAGAGACTGGATGACCTGTAGCCATTATGTGTCTCCTTTGCATAAACTTTTCATTCAAACAACAATAAGCAAAAGACTCATTATGCTGATATTGGGTCTTTGGTATGCCGAGATGTAGGACTATAAGTTTGCTCAAATAAATGACCTTGAATCACAGGGATAAAAAGTGTTAAACTCTTTAGATGACTGTAACATGCCAGGATGAAGAGCTATTAAGTTCGTTCAGATGAATGATTTTGGCCCACTTTCAAGGTCACAGAGGAAAATGTGTTAAAATTTTCAAATGACTTTCTCTCAATAAATAAAAAAAACTCAGGGTGCTGATTTTAGGCCTGTAGCATGCTATGATGTCGGGTTATAAAGTTTGTTGAAAATGAATAATCTTAATGAAAATTCTAGGTAAAAGCTGGGAATTAAATGTGCTGAAATTTTAAAAATGAAAGGCCCATGCTATTAATAATAGTTCTGTAAAATAACTGGATGAAGGGATTCAAAGTTTTCTCAAATAGTTTACCTTGACCCACTTTCAAGGTCACAGGGATCAAATGTGTTGAGTACTTGATTTTATTTCTGTCAACAAGCAATGGGCCCAGGATCATGGTAGATATGTAGTAAGATTTCAAGTTTGCAAAAATTGACTTTATGAACTGACCAAGTTTTCTGTGTAGAACCAGTGAATGATGCTGGCCCATTTAGCTACTTATTAGGTGTTTATGGCCAGGTGGCTGTGAAGGCCCATAGGCCTCTGATTTTTACTATAATTGTGTTAGTTGTCTCCGCACTGTTGATGACCATTAAATTGCTGCCTCATTGTTCTAGGTATACTCTAGAAGTTGATCCAAAAGTTGAAGTAAAGCTGAAGGCTGCAGCAGTGATGAGGTCTTTGAATGGTGTCTACCTCTTCAACAAACGTCGGCAATGATTGGCAATTCAAGCATAATTGAACAGAATATTTCCAGTATGCACATATGTGACACATATTTGGCATAGGAAAGAATTTTTGTGTTGTAAATACTTACAACGAAATGATTACAAACAACGAAATGATTACAAGGATCTATTTATTAATCAGATTTCACTGTGACATGCCTGGAAATATCTCAGTCACACCTGAATATAAACTTGTCACACCTGATAATATCTAAGTCACACCTGGTTATATTCCAGTCACACCTGATAATATCTCAAGGCACACCTGGTAGTATCTCAGTCTCACCTGGTACTATCCCAGTCAAATCTGGTACTATCTCAGTCAAATCTGGTAATTTCCCAGTCAAATCTGGTACTATCCCAGTCTCACCTGGTAGTATCTCAGTCTCACCTGGTAATATCTAAGTCACACTTGATAATATCTAAGTCACACCTGGTTATATCCCTGTCATATCTGGCCAGTTACACATTGTAATATTTTTGGCACATCTGGTTATTTGATATCCTAGCTGAGGAAAACCTGGTAATATCACACTCCTGTCTGGAATATCCCAGTCCTACACTGTCACACCTTGTTGATGATTTACAGGTTTTTGTAGGCGGTGATTGTTGTAGGATGATATGATAACAATGAGTGCCTTGAATATTATTTTGTGTTTTTTATTCCATTGTTTTATTTGGTTGATTTATTAAGTGGGAATATTTTGTAGACTGAAAATAGACTTCAACATGGTCATTATCAATATTAAACATAAAATAAGCATCATGGGATTGACCTAAATTGATCATTTAGGACAGTTTGACCTGCGTAGGAGAAAGTTTAGCCTACATAGAGAATGTTGACCGTCATACAGAACAGATGGACAGTGGGACCTTTACATACATGAAGGACACTATGACCATTGTGTAGGACTGTGACCTTCATATAGGACAGGTTGACCTTCATATATTTTACAGTGTACATGTGATATTCATATAGGACATTTTGACTTTAAATACAGAACACTGTGACCTTTATATGGGGTATTCTGACTTCTGTTATGTACCTATAGAATGTCATATGGTGGATTGACTTTTTATGGAATATTCTGACAAGGACAGTCTGATCTTTCAAATGGACGTAGGAAATATCAGACATGGTTTTATGAGGATAGTGTAAAGTACATGTAGGACAAAGTGACCTATATATATACATGTAATATATGACATATATTTTGCTTTAACTGTTAGACATAGAGAACAGGTTATGTATAACACATACACTGCTGATGATGGCCCATATTGACTTTGTAATGTTACAGTCTATTTATTTAAAGCTTTAATAAGGCATTTTTGTGTGTCTTTGTGTTGGAATTGTGTTCAGGAACTTGACATTTTTAGACTGGATGCTTTATTGATGGAGATTTATATTGATGTTAAGTTCAATCTAAGCATGTAAACATTTTTACTAAGATAAGGAGTGTATGATTTAGTCTTAATATTGTAGATTTTTGTACATCTTACATAATGTTTAATCATTACTGAAAGAGTCAGAAAAATCCCCCTTAATAAGGCTTAACAAGCCATGGTAAATTTACCTCACAGAAACAGCTAAATCTTTGATGCAAACCTTTACATCTCATTTCAAATTATACTAATGTTATTAGGTTACCTATTGTACTAAGTTTTTATCTATATATCTAGATTTTGTGATCATGAATTGTGTATTAGATTATTATATTTAGTAAAATTATATGAATTGCTATGTATACATTTATACTTAAATGTATGTTACATTAATACATGTTTTGACATACAATGTAATTGTTTTTTTTAACATTACTGAATTACTTGTATAATGTGACACCGCCTTCCCAGGGTTTTGGGTATGATGATACTCATCCACACACTTGATAAACAGACAATAAACATATGATCTTCTCCATGTTTTTGTTATTTGTGTAACAAGGAGCGAGAGTTATCTCCCATGCAACAAGGATGTATCGAAAAAGTAACTTATTTCATATCGAGGAAACGGAGGCTAAATATGAACAACCCATGTGTTTCGGAATGGTAATCGTTTTCTACTTCATTTGCCATAAGCTTTTACTAAAGCTTTTTCTGTGAAACCACACCTTGCTTAACCATGTTGTAAGCTTTAATGACGTTAGCTGTTGGAATCGATCACGGAAATCGATATATTTGGAACAGTTGTCCGATCCATTGCAACATGCGCAATGTAGTTTGAGAAAACAAGGTTTTCACTCGCGTGTATTTGAAAATTCACAATTGTGAATGATAATGATCAGGCATGTCACTTCCAGTTCAGTTAGCGGAAATCGGTTTCTGTTGTGTCCCCCGGGGCCCGTTGTAACTAAAGATGGATGAGAGTCTGCCGTGTCTATGGTTGAAAGTTTTCTAGGGTAAGCGATCAGTTTAGCCGGGTACCTATATATCGGACACAGATAAATCATTTCACAAAATGTTACATAGCAAACACGATCCATCAAGGTAATCACTTGTGCAATGTCAAATGAGGTGATAATTGTAATCGACAAAGTCGTTAATTTATTTACTCAACACTCCCAGTATTTTGTTTTATAACTGATAGGATTGCTTTGATTGGTCACGTGTTATCTTCACGTAGGATCTACACATGTACAAAGGTTTCATCCCAATTGTCGTGATCATTGTACCGTATTTCCTACTGAAATGATTATTATGCAACGGTTTTCATTTTATAATTAAACATATATTATTCAAAAGTCATAAACTCGAATAGCAGAGATATACAGCTGTTGTCTCGTCTGATTTACACGTGTATTACCTCCCCTGGGCTGAGAGCCCTGGGGACTCCTTTTTAATGATGATCAAAGACGGCAGGTTATAATAACGACGCTTAACGAGGTGTATCACAGCCCCCTACACAGCTGGCCTTTCCATGTGTCTGTTTATTTGCCTTCTGTAAAAGGCAATTAAAATATCTTCAGAGCAGAGAGATAACAGGTACGTCGGTTATATCACGGGTAGACGGGCTCGGCGGCAGAGTAGTCGACACACATTACTGTTTCTCCGAATGGATCTTGGTCTGGTTCTGAAAACATATTATTCAGGAAATGTTAAATGAGTATAAATAAATGGTGTAATTATAAAGATAAAAGAAACGTGTTTAATAAATTCAAATTTTGTTTGTCCTTTATAGTAACACGTACACAAACGTCATGGTTTGGATCCGTCTACAGCTGCAGCGTCCTAATAGGAACGCTTAGGTAATCTTTCATGTTTGTAAATGTTATGAAATACATTTATAAGCGGTACAAGATCCAGTTGACTGCAATTGTACAATAAATGTTCGTGGACAAACTGTCGGTGTTACACGTATACAGTCGGTATCACGTGTCTACTCGTTCCGCCGTTGATACGAACGTCACGCGTACTCGTCCCGTCAGTGTCTCACTTTCAGAATATTTTATTGTCATGGTGGTATTGACAGTAGGAATTGGGCAACAGGCAGGCCTATGAAAGCCCTCTACTTACAGTGCATAAACAAGTATACAGACACACCAATCAAAATTAGAGATAACAGATAATAATAATATTAGGAATAAGAATGTAGAAGATAGATTCAAATGGATGATTATATAACCGAAATGCAAAATAGGCATCACCATCGTTTGTATTATTGAGTACCAGAACAGTAACATAAACTAAAAAATACAAATTAGGTATCACAAGATATTACAAGACTGGGTCAAAATATGTCCATTTGTGGTGGGACAGGCTGCAGGTTCAAACAGTCCATTTGCACATAATCCTGGGCGGAGTCCCTAAAATGGACAGGCGGACCCACACTTGAGACATCAAATACAAATGAGAGATAGAAAAGATAGAAGTATAGAATGGGATGTACATTTGCTAAAATAGGCGACCAGTGTCAGTTATGAATCTCTGAACTATATCAAGAATAAATTTATTCATGTTTGCATCAAGTATAGGAGAACCTTTGAGAAATGTATCAATTGAAGGAGGTATAGAATCACTAAGGTCAGAAAGGGAATTAAAGAGGAGTTGTCTCTGGTTAGTAAAGAAGGGACAGTGGAAAAAGAAGTGGGTACAATCTTCAACTGGGTGGCCACAGTTACAGGCAGGGTTATCTTTAAGGTGGGAATTGAATAAATCAAAATTTAAATTACTTGCAGAGTTTCTTAGTTGACATAAAATTATGTTAGCTTTTCTTTGTCCTTTATATTTGAAAGTATCATTACAGTGGAAAGGAGGAATGGTAGCTTGCTGTGATAAAAAAAATTTTTTTTATCGCGTAAATAGAAGTTAATGAGGGATACAGACAAGATGGGCCATTCCATTCATTCATAAGTTTTGGAAAGAAGCTAGAGCTATATTGACAAGTTCTTGTATGGGGCACATCAAACAATCTATTGTGTCGAAGTGGATAAGGAGCATTATTATTGTTTATAAAAGGTTGGATAGAGTCAAATACATGAGGAGGGCATCTGTTATTTAAAATCAGTGTCTGGGGCAAACATGAACGTTATAAATACGATTTTCGTCAATTTTAAGTATAGACACATGTTAACGCCTACCGTCGATGTCACATGTAGACAGAACGTAACTGTACGCGTACCGCCGTTGTCACGTGTAGACATAACGCAACAGTTCGCGTACCGCCGTTGTCACGTGTAGGCATAACGCAACAGTTCGCGTACCGCCGTTGTCACGTGTAGACAGAACGTAACTTGTACACTACCACCAGTGTCACGTGTAGACAGAACGTAACTTGTACGCTACCACCAGTGTCACGTGTAGACAGAACGTAGGCTATACGCTACCACCAGTGTCACATGTAGATAGAACGTAACTTGTACGCTACCACCAGTCTCACGTGTAGACAGAACGTAGCTTGTACGCTACCACCAGTGTCACGTGTAGACAGAACGTCGATTGTACGCTACCACCAGTGTCACGTGTAGACAGAACGTAACTTGTACGCTACCACCAGTCTCACGTGTAGACAGAAAGTAGCTTGTACGCTACCATCAGTGTCACGTGTAGACAGAACGTAGGCTATACGCTACCACCAGTGTCACATGTAGACAGAACGTAGGCTATACGCTACCACCAGTGTCACGTGTAGATAGAACGTAACTTGTACGCTACCACCAGTGTCATATGTAGACAGTGTCACGTGTAGATATAACTTTGTAGCTTGTACGCGTATCGCTTGTACGCTACCACCAGTGTCACATGTAGATAGAACGTGTCATTCACGTGTCCCTTTTAATAATCGATCGGATGTTTAACTACCATGACTAGTGATGAATGGGAATGAAGAACTCATTTGAACATTTCAATATTTTTGACATTTTAATTTTCATATGCAATTATATGTGTTGCTCCCGTTGATGGGATTTCTATACTTGGTATCAAGAAAAAATCTTAAGTTGAAAAGAAATGCAAATTTTGGCTGGAAAGGACATGGTCTGTTAGAAAGGACTGGGATAGGGTGCAATGCTCTATGAATCGATAATATATATATTTACATTTCTTTTTTTAATATACTTGATAAATGTTAAATGTGATGACGTGAAATGTTTAAAATTTTGACTTACAACTACCGTCAAAAGCACTGTCAGAAATATTCACATCACTCACTTCAAAAGCAAGACTCTAATATCTACATGTATCATTAGTGTTAATCAAGTCTATGACTGGTTGAAAAAGAAACGGGGTAAAGTTTACCTTTACCATACCATATTCTTCACCTTGCTCAGTAGAGGGACGGAGCTATCTTCTAACTCGTCTGTCAAAATGGGGCGTGGATACCTTAACGAGGTACTTTCCTTTTCCATGTTGAGTAGTGGGGCAGTGATGCCTTTACCACGCTAATCTCCTCTCTGTAGGAAGGGAAAGCTGCACTTACCTTACTGCCTTCCACTGGGACAGTAATGCCTTTATTACACTACCTTCCTTTCCGTGTTCATTAGTTGGATGGGGATGTCTTTACCACGCTACCTTCCTCTCCGTGTTCATTAGTTGGATGGGGATGTCTTTACCACGCTACCTTCCTCTCCGTGTTCAGTAGTGGGGGAGAGCTACCTTTACCACGCTACCTTTCATTCCGTGTTCAGTAGTGGGGGAGAGCTACCTTTACCACTACCTTCCTCTCCTTGTTCAGTATTGAGAGAAAGCTACCTTTACCACGCTTCCTTCCTCTCCTTGTTCAGTATTGGGAGAGAGCTACCTTTACCATACTACCTTCCTCGTCATGTTCAGTATTGGGAGAGAGCTACCTTTACTACGCTACCTTCCTCTCCTTGTTCAGTATTGGGAGAGAGCTACCTTTACCATACTACCTTCCTCGTCATGTTCAGTATTGGGAGAGAGCTACCTTTACCACGCTACCTTTCATTCCGTGTTCAGTAGTGGGGGAGAGCTACCTCTACCACACTACCTTTCTCTCCATGTTCAGTAGTGGGGGAGAGCTACCTTTACCACGCTACCTTTCATTCCGTGTTCAGTAGTGGGGGAGAGCTACCTCTACCACACTACCTTTCTCTCCATGTTCAGTATTGGGAGAGAGCTACCTTTACCACGCTATCTTCCTCTCCGTGTTCAGTATTGAGAGAAAGCTACCTTCACCACACAAACTTCCTCTCCATGTTCAGTAGTGGGGGAGACCTACCTTTACCACGCTACCTTTCTCATCATGTTCAGTATTGGGAGAGAGCTACATTTACTACGCTTCCTTCCTCTCCTTGTTCAGTATTGGGGAGAGCTACATTTACTACG